TGGCATGTCCTGTCAGGAGTCTAACCAGAATACTGGTTCGGTTGCGATTGCCTTCCAGTTATTCTTTTGTAAGTTTTGCGGATGGTCCTTTTATGAATCTCTTTGCGTGCCTCATACCTATGGTGGTTGGTCCACCAGATTTTGGGCTCATTAAGGATCCATGTTAAGATGCTTAGCCACAGTAGGATTCAGGACCCTGCGACAACATTTAAAAACGCCCCTTTGCGTTTTTCTTATGTAATTACAGCTATATTTGATTCATGAGAAAACTGGGATTAATTTTGTTTTTCTGGATCGAATATAAATAGTCTAGTCATTAAATTATTAGTCTAGTACATAGCATTTTAATTTGTAAGAAAAAAGTTTTTTTTAGAATGTTGAAAAATTAGATTGTAAACAAGGGATCCACGTGTCCGTTAAAGGGGTGGAACGGAAAGGGTTGGCAACGGGGAAAAAAATCCCCCGAGCCGTGATTGACAGGGAGCAACAAGTGCCTAAGGTTTCGCCACATGGACGGCCACTTCCGTGTAATTACCCTTCCTGCACGGTGGGATCTTCCTGGCTATTAGAACCAAGTGTAAAGTTTAAAAAAACGGGGTGTAAGGTAGAACTATTAAACAAACACCGCGGTGTAACATTAGAAGAAATAAAATTTTGGCCGGCAGGCCCACCGCACCCCCCTCTTTCATCCGACCGACTACACATCTACATTTCCTAGTATTGATTTCCTACTAAATCCCAGCGAGGTGGTGGAAAAGAGCGACGGGGGTTAGAGAGAGCTGCGTAAAATACAAAAATATCAAATGTCAAAAGTTGGGCGTAGGGGAAAGGAGGCCGGGCGAGAGGGAAAATCGGGGGAAGGGGTTGTTTGAATATTAGAGTGAGATTTCAGGTGGTGGGGATACTGTATAGTGGGACCGCCCCTCTAAACCACCCCCTCGTACCCTCATCCTCAAAAAGCACAAATCAATCAAAAACTAAAAGAGGCTCCCCCACTTTTAGGCCAAGCGAAAGTACGCACTCCCCGTTTTAAAATCCAGGAAAACTGCCGTGATTTCCTCATTGTAATAAAGAACCCCCTTCATTCTTGCCACAAATAAAACTCCGCACCTCATTTTTGTTTAAAACATTGTCCATTCGAATTTAAAACATTTAATTACATTAAAACTACTGTTGATCAATACTTGTCATCCCTTGACTTATTTCGTCAAATAGCTCTTCTTGGCTAAAATTATACACAAAGGATACACATATTGTCCCATAAAATCTTAGTCTGGAATAAGAAAGCTTGTTCTGAATGCAAAATGAACGAGCAACATCACTGGCTTTTTTTCCAGTGAAAAAAACTAAAATCACGTTCCTTGGGAATACTTTAGAGACGTACCTTTCTGCCACGAATTCAATCAATCTACCGGCTGTCAAAATTTCCTAATTTGAAACTTTTTAAAATTAGTAGTTTGATCGTTTCCGATGGCTGCTGCCTGTGCTTGGTCTGTCAGACAAATCGCAAACCAATGTACGTTTTTGAGGTCTCCTTATAAAAGCGCACGACTGAAAATAACACAGATATGACAGTGAGGGTAGACAGATCATGACGATCATAAACGACCAAAATCGTTCTTTACCTACAGACAAAAAAAATCCTTCGAATCTCGTTGAGTTCTTACATTTTTACAGGCTCTGTCTTTAAATTGTTGTTTTGTAAAAAAAAATTGCATTATTTTTATGTGAGTATTCATAAAATTTTGCAGAAATTCTGAAGACATTCCGTCCTACCGTTGTTGTAAACAATCGACACAAAAACAGAAACGCCGTGATAAGACAAAAAGTTAATCACACCTACAGCCAATCTATAAGAAGCAATTTAAAGATAACTCAGCCGTTTTCATTTTGAAATCATCGAATTAGCCCGGTTTAAAAGGTAGATATTGGTTGAAATTAATTGGGACAACAGCAAAATTTACAAACTTTGTTTTCTTTGAAATTCAAAAAACTCATAAAGAAGAGTTCTCTATAAGAACACTAAATAATCGGACACTTTTTCCTTATTATTAACCAGAGGAAATTTCTCACATCAGCTGGATTTCAGGAAAATCACAAATTAAACACAACTCTCTCAGTGTGTATTAAGAATATTCTTAATTCATTAAATAATCAATATTATTGAGTAGTGATTAATTACAAAATATACATTGTTAATTATGATTATATTAATTAAGAATATTATACTTTCCAGTGCCTGTAAACACAATAAAAATATCTGTTTGATAACTTCATTGATGAATGATTAAAAAAAAATATATGTTAAAAAAATAATATCGTTTTATTAAGTCGTGTTACAAGAACAACCCTAATCTTCCTGTATTTGTTTTTGTAAATTTTCTTTTAATTGTTTCTCCGGAAAATAAAATGATAAATTCGAGATGGAAGGAAAAATATTTTGAGGTTTAAACGCAACAACCCAGAAATATCGCACTTTTTTTTATTTTAATTTCTCGGTAAAAATGTTTTAACTGAATGATATGAATTGTACATTTGTTGCAATTACTGTTTTTGGCCAATTTAATACATCATCCTATGAGTTTCTACACGAAACTTTTGTTTATCATGATTTTAATGCCTATAAAACTATCCTAGTACTACTTAAATTGTTTATAACCTCCTGATTTAAATTCTTTGTAAAAGGACCTTTGATCCGTATATACATATAAATAAATAAATGCTTAGTTGACCCCTCCCCCCCCAAAAAAAACCTGGGTTTGAAAAAATATGTACAATATTTAGGTCTGCAATGTAAAGTACCCTTGATCTCAATAACATTTCCAGTGTACATAATAAACATGTACATTAATTAATTTTTTTTTTTTTTTTTTTTTTTTTTTTTTTTTTTTAACGAGGGTTCGCAACAGCAGAGGTCATATAAACCCTCAGGGTGCCGGTGTTTTTGAAAAAAAGCCCATTTGTAAGTATGTCGGGTTCGAATGCAGGGCCGCTGGATTCGAACCCGGGACCTTTACCTTACAGTGATGAGCGCCGTGTCAAAGACTAAACCTTGCGGCCACCGACGCCCCTAATAAACATGTACATATTTTAAATAAATATTCATAACAATCAACTAATGGCTGACTTCTAATTCAAAAAAGTAGACCCTTGCTCTGATTTTGTTAGATATATATTAGTTTTTATATTGATAAAGAAATAATTAAATTATATACTAATACTACTAAATTATATAATTTATATTATTAATATTATATTTTATTAAATCCATTATGTTTAGTGGTCTAATTGACCAAATTACTCCTTTCAATTAATTATTCTTTTTATATAAGGTCCTGGTTGAGGTGAAAAAGTTATGTGATTATAGTTTATAATAATATATTAGTAATTATATTTATGTTTATATTTAACGTTGTATTATATTAACAATTTTCAATAGCTTTTTATAGCAAAATATATTAAAAAATAGATAGCGATTTTGAGACACAGAAAATAGATTTGTTTTTTTGATAACAATAATAAATAAATATATAACATTTGGTAATAATGCTATAATTACTATGTCCCAAATATGTTAGAATGTTATTAGCATAGCTATTATGTTTGTATCGTTCAATTGAAAACAAAAACGTCTTGCGACACGTGTTGTATACTACACACCAGAGAAACATCTAAGTGCCATCTATCCACGAAACCCACAACTCAATCTTACATACCGAACAAATGCATTGTTTTACTTGTAAGATATAGTTATATTGTACGCTAATCGATATTTTTGTCAATGTTAATTTCATATTTAAAGTAGACATTATGCTGCTGTTAAGCATTACAAGACATTTTATGAACTTCCAACAAAATTTAATTTAATTAACCAGCCGGCATTTTAATGTTTTGGAAAACTTTACATTGAAACTTACAATTTTCATAGCATAAAATATATAATAAAATGATATCAATAAATAATTAGTACATCAATTAATCAGCCTCTTTTCAGCTATTTGAGCAATAACAAACGGATTCATGAGATTTGAAATTTTTTTAATACCATTATATAATAAGTTGTGTTTGTAGACGAGCAAAGGCATTTCTTCATAAAATATTTAAGTTCTGTATTTTTATAGTTACTTTACTCCTAGACTTGTGCACCATAATACAGTAGAGTTTATATCAAACTATTAAAAGTTAAATTTGGGAGAAAATGATATGGTATTATTGAATATTATTTTATTTAAATTGTGTTTAAGTTATTAAACTGTGACAAAATCTGTGAAAGGTTAACGATGGACAAAGAAGAAGCCTTGATTTTATTATCTCAGGTGCAGTCTTACCTGTATAATTCTGAAGGATGAGGCTAAAGTTTTAGAAGAGTGTTGAATGCTTTGGACATGATTGGTGCGCTTTGATGCGTAATGTGGGAAAAAAGTTGGTAAGTTTATCAGTGCTTAGAATGCTCATTGCTGAAGACGTTAATATAGGAATAAATATCTCTTGGTTTAAGATCATAGCAGTATCTAATGCAGGAATGATTAGCAATTTGAAGGTGAATATGAGGAAAGTGAAAAAAAAAATATCGTTACAATAAGAGAATAAAGGAATTATTAGGGATTTAATAAGGAGAACTCGAGTTTTCTGTGGAGAGGAAACACTAAGACATCAAAGAGAATGGAGGCTTGAGTAGACCTTTTTAATAATAAAGCTCACATATCATGCCACGCTAAGCTGGGAGTTAAAAGGGCTTAAAGTCTGATTTTTACCTTTAAAATAAATTTGATTGTCAGCATGGGAAGCTGCGTTATTTCATTATCAGAAAAAACATAAGTTCAATGTGCATGAGTGCATTACACTAAGCAATCGTGTTATTATTTTATGTTTGAATTCATCTATTACCTTTTTCTTTAAAACTTGCAACAGTAAATTAATGTTGAAACATATTTGATTATCGAAAGAAAATCAAAGATCGATATGTTGCATCGTCTTATGGCACAATGCTTGAGTAACCTTGCACATGAGTAACAACTCAATGGACTGACTAAGATCAGCTGTTTATGACAGAAGATCTGTTTTGTTTTAACTGTTAATGGATATTTCTTTTTATATGGAATACCCCTTGGCCACGTACTTTACAGGGGGATGAAATCGTGGTGTGACGATGTCTTTCTCTTTAAGCAATAAACGAAAATAAAGCCATGGGTGATAAAAAAGTTTTACAAGAAATGGAAGTTTTTAGGACCGACGATTATTATGTTTTGATGAATAGCGAGTCCAGTTTGTGGTGTAGTCGTAAAACGGGTGAATTGGACGTTAGACCAGGTGGGCGTTTCATGAATTATTCAGTAAACTTACAATGAGCCTAATTGTAAATCAATCCTAATATTAGGTCCATTTTTATACTTTTCTTTTTTTTTAGGATGGGAGCTGGCCAATTCGGGCGACCCAGAGTGCCTCGGCATCTTCTTTGGGCTGATTGGTAAAATTGACTTCCAAGCTGATGGCGAGGCGAGGCTTATGCTTATTAAAGAGACGGATGATGTTGGTGTGCTGCCTGACGGGAGAAAAGTCATCAAGATTCGTTCTATTGCATTCCTCCACCCGTGCGGCCCGGATGTCAGCCCGTCTGAATCTGGACTCAAACCCTGCAAAAAGCACAAAGGCGGCAGCACGAATCTGTTCGAGCCTCAAAAAGCCTCTCTTACCAAGACTTGGGGTGCGATGAAGTCTGTTACCAATTCCATCAAATCCACAACACAACATGCAGCTGCTATGGCCACTTACCAGGTACTTGCAGTATATGTAAAGTAAAATTTTGGCAAAAGTAGGTATCTGTTTTCAATTATTTCCATTTCTTGTTATATTTCAAATTTGTAATCCATTAAAAAAGCAATACTAGTTTGTGTGTGGGGGGGGGGAAGAACCAACCATAAGAAATGACTTTTTATGAAATATTTAGTGCTTCATCATGTTTAACTTATTGAAGATACTTCCCAGTATGATAAATCATTCCTATTTCATGATTATGGTCTTTCTTCTCTGTTTCTTTAAAAATGTAATTCATCTTATTAACACAACGAAAACCTTTGACCTGATTAAATAAAATGTTAGCCCTTTTTCGCACTATATGTTCAATTCTTCATATTAAACAAATAAAAAACAACATGACAGGTTGACTATTTTAGGCCTTGGGGCAAGGCAGGCACAGATTGCCGATCCAAATTTCAGGATCATAAGTATTTTTAACTGTATACAATAGCCCTCTTGTCATGCGTACAGAAGACGTACGAGAGGATGCTGAAAAACAGACTACAATGGTGGCTGGAACGGAATAAGAAGCTCCCAAGCAGCCAATACGGTTTTCGCAAAAACCATTCCGTGTTTGACGCTCAACTACAACTTATATGCGACACGCATCTAGCTTTTACCGATGATAGATATATTCTAGCATTGTTTTTGGACATTGAGGGAGCCTATGACAACATCATTCTGCACATACTGCAATCCAAACTTAGGAAGATCGGTTTGCCTCTACTGTTTATCTCTAATGTCATGGAATTAATCACCTGTAGGGAGATCTTCTTTGAGGTCAACGGCTCGATTGAAGGTCCCAACATGACATATAAGGGCTTACCACAGGGAGGGATTCTCAGCCCTCTTTTATACGCTTTGTATGTCTCGGATTTGGAGTCGATTCTCCCACAAAATGTCCATATCATACAATATGCAGATGACATTTGTATCTATGTTAATACCAAAAATCCCGCGAAAGGACAGGAAACCCTGAGCTCTGCTATGAATACAATCGATCAATGGTTTCAGGAAAATGGCCTCAATATATCGGAAACAAAATCAGTATTATGCCCCTTCTCCAGGAGGAGACGTTTGAATATGGGCGCAATGGAGAGAATTGGCAGATACCAAATACCGGTTTCCTCGAACGTTAAATTCCTGGGATTATATTTAAACAGAAAGCTTCAGTGGAACGAACACATTTCACGTATATTAAAAAGAGGCGAACGGCTATTTAACATCTTGAGAAGCTTCACCTGCAGCAAATGGGGCGCTGATCCTGTCATAGGAATGCTGTTCTACAGGTCAGCAATTCGAGCGACAATTGATTATGGGTCGGTTTTCTATGGACACGCCCCCGATTCTGTACAACGACGAACTGCAGTATTTCAACGCAAATGCCTGCGGCGTATCCTGGGATGTCTTCCCAGCACTCCCATACCTGCTCTTTATGCCGAAGCATGTGAGCCACCACTGAACTTAAGATGGGAAAAATATGCAAAAAACTGCCTAATTAAAATGTACGCTAAAGATAGTCCGCTATTAACGAAAGTAAGCCATTTAGCTCAAAAGGTTTTGACAGACAGATACTGGCGAAAGAAAAAAGCTCCGCTTATAGTGGAATCGTTCCTCACCCTAGTCCCAACAATATATTCTGTTTACAAAAATCCGATACTACCAATCTTCTCGCTGGAATATCAAGCAATAATAAGCGAAATAAATTGTCAAGAACTTAATTATACAGGACTCCCAGCCAATCACGCAGAAATGCACTTCAGGGCAGACAGCTGCGAAAAGTTCCCAGATCACCTCCTCATCTTCACAGACGGATCAAAACTTAATGGCTCCACGGGTTGTGCATTTTATGACAGCCTGAACCAGTATCACGAGAAACATCTACTTCCGAATTTGGTTAGCTCTTACACAGCAGAAGGTATAGCCATTCTGAAAGCGCTGGAATACGCCGCGAGGATACCAAATAAAAAAATTGGGATCATGACGGACAGCCTCAGCACGATATGCCAGCTACGCTCTTTCAATCTTCTTAATAAGTATGAATACATTATAATCGAAATTGTCAGGTTAACCTTCAAATTAAAAAATCAAGGCAAAAACATTGTAATATGCTGGATAAAAGGGCATGCAGGTATAGAACACAATGAGAGAGTCGACCAGTTAGCCAAGGAGGCAACCATTAAAGGTTCTCCCACGCCTGTGCAGCTAACCGTCGGAGACATGACAAACAATATAAAAAGAGACATATGCAGAAAGTGGCAAAACTGGTACGATACGGGCACAGCAGGGAATTTCTACCGGTCATTATTTCCAACATTACAAAAGAAGCCGTGGTTTCAAGAAATAGAGAAAGGAAAAGCTTTCTTCTCAACAATTACACGACTCCGAACTGGCCATGGCATCTGCGGCTCATATTTATACAGGATTAACTGTAGAACATCGCCAAACTGTGCAACGTGCGATGTAGAAGAAAGCCTTGACCATATAATATTACAATGCACCGAATATGAGGCTCAGCGAGAACAATTACAGAAAGAATTGGACGCTCGGCCAATGAACTTAAGCTCGCTGCTGGCAGAGGGTGACAAGGAGGTCTATGACGCCTTGTACAAATACTTCAAGAATTGTGATATTAATGTTTAAGTTGCTGTTGTTTATCGTATTATTTATTTATATTATTTATTTACAAGCCTATTTATTTATTTATTCATCTAGTCATTCCTTTACATAAATAGATACTTTGATTGTTAGTCACTGGTACCTGAATCTGGCTGAATATCCCTGATAAAGCAAAAAAAAGGGAAAAAAAACTGTATACAGATCTTTGTGCTTTTATGTATGTAATATGTGTTATTTATTTAAATGAATGTATTTATTAGCGTGAATGAAAGGGATTGTCCCCAATCACCCTGGGGAGTATTGACTACTCTGGGGTAGTGTGAATGAATTGTAGTGTGTGTGAAACTAAATTATAAGCGTAAATAGCCTTATCCCTAATTACCCCAAGAAATGTGTAATGATGTTGTGTAATTGTAATGTGTTTGTTAATGTGTAATTTTATCTGCAATTGACCCAGACAGGCTAGCAGTGGGATATAAAAAAGGAGAGCATCAATTGTAGTCCTAACTGGTCTGATTTTAACAGGAAAAGAAATTAGTAGGGTTCAAACATAAGAAAGAAAAAAAAGAAAGAAAGATTGGGCTGACAATGACTAATGTAGTTTACCAGCCTTAAAACTAACACACACACACAAATATCTTACACGTATTAATCCAAATACAATTAAAAAATATATTAATAATGTTTTTTTGTTTTTTTAACCCTACACCATGGCAAACATGAACTATTGCTAAGAAGCTTAATAGGCATTTCTCGAAATGGAAAATTTTAATCAATCCTTGCAAAACTGAAGCCATTCTATTTACAAAGATGTACATGGTGGTTCTGTGGTAGGATAACAGGTTAAATTTTACTATGCATTAAAAAAAATATTATACATAGTGGTCTTATACTATTCATGTGCAGAGTGGCATTTGATGAGCTCGATCAATTATAAAAAATTGCAAATAGTGTAAATTAAGTTCATGCGTCTAGGTACAGGTTTCCCACAAAATACAAAAATTATTGACCTACACAAGAATACCGATATTTTTGGAAATTAGGAATTTTGTGGCTCTATGTACTATAAGTTTCCAAAGCAAGTGTGAAAGGATCTCGACTGACTTGGCAGCCAGCATAGGAACAAATTTCAGCAGGGAAATTTTCTTTTCTTTTACTATCAATTTTATTTTGGGTTCTTTCTTGGTTATGGGTTTTTATTTGTATTTTCCTCAGAAACTCAATCAGTTTTATTTTGTTAATTGGTGTTTTTTAATTTTTATTTATAATTTTGTGAATTTTTTAAACTCAAATCACATTTGAATAGAATGTACATAAACAATGTTTTGTAAATAGTAATCAATTAATAAATCTATCTATCTACATATTAATTTGGAAGTAACAAAATAAATCTTGTTGATGCCAATCCAACAAGAAGTTTTATAACTAGATTAAAATTTTGACCTAAATACATACTAAACTTCCTTTCATTTTATTTTTAAAAATTAAATTCCTCAGTAAATATACATATATAAGAGCACATTAGTATTTAAAAAAGAATTCAAGTAAGAGAAAAAGACAATATGCTAATTATATATCATTTTTCTATAAGATAGTAATAAATGGAGTATATATCTAAGTTTGATTAATTTGGATTTTGTATACCCACATACCAAAGATTTTTCTAATGCATTTTGCCTGCAATACTAAGCAATTTAGCCTCATATTTGTTATCAACATTTTGTATGTACATAAATTTATTTTTAACCATTGCCTCTTTAGGTAAAGGGTGGTGGAAAAAAGGATTTGAAAGACAGGGAAAAGTTTGAAAAACGTATCCTTGAAGAATTGCAGAGGGTTTTTAGTGATACCGATTCATTCTACTTCTGCTGTGCTCAACCTGGAAGCTCGGAAGCGGATTTGACAAACAGCCTTCAGAAAAACAGCCAAACTGACTCGTCGACTGATGACAGATTCTTCTGGAACAAGCATATGCTCAAAGATATATTAGAAATAAATGTAATTTCATTTCAAGTTGTCATCTATTGTTTTCTCTTGTTTGTATTATTATTCAATATACGATTTTCAGAACAATTTAGCAAAAGCTTGGATTTTGCCAATCATTCAAGGTTTTGTACAGATAGAGCAATGTGCTATAGAGTTGGACCCTTTAACTTTTAGTTCATCGAGAATAGAGGTGGGTGTGTTCATCAATTAATCACAAACTGTTATCAGTTGGTCTCGTGTTATGATATGACCAATTTCTTGATATCTATTATACTAGTGATAGCATTTTTATTTTTCTATTTTAGAATATTACAATAGGGATAATAAGCAGGAGGAGTAGATACAGAGCAGGAACCAGGTATAAAAGACGTGGGCTGGATGATGAAGGAAAATGTGCAAATTATGTTGAAACGGAGCAGTTCGTTGCTACCTCAGATCATCATATTTCATTTGTTCAAGTCAGAGGCTCTGTTCCATTATATTGGTCTCAGCCCGGTTACAAATATCGACCTCCACCTCGCATCGACAAAGGTTAATTTGAAACTGGTTCAGACATGTGAATTTTACAACAAAATCTGTACTTTCAGGAGAAGCCGAAACTAAATTGGCATTCGAAAAACATTTTGAAGAGGAATTAAAACAATATGGGCATGTTTGTATTGTCAATTTGGTAGAACAGACTGGTAAAGAGAAAGTAATATGGGAAGGGTACACTCATCAAGTAATGCAATACAATTCGAACGCAATAACTTACGCTACTTTTGATTTTCACGAGCATTGGTAAGGATAAAGTTTCAATCTAAGAAAACTTTCAACCATCTTCCTAATTGAATATTGTTTTTAGTCGAGGGATGAGATTCGAGAATGTGTCTTACTTGATTTCAAAATTAGAAGATGTGATACAGGAAATGTGTTTTTGTTGGAAAGACCGTCAAGGTGTGATATGCTGGCAGCAGGGTGTGTTTAGAGTCAACTGCATAGATTGCCTCGACAGGACAAATGTTGTTCAAGTAATTTTTTCATATCATTATCTCCCCCACCAAAAACCATGTACGCATTTTAATATTTATTACAGACTGCTATTGGTAAATCAGTACTGGAGATACAACTGACCAAACTCGGCCTGCTTCCTCCTGAAGGCAGTCTTCCCAGTTCTCTCAGGACTACTTTTCAACTCCTTTGGGCTAACAATGGTGATATTATTAGTAAACAATATGCAGGAACGAATGCTTTGAAAGTAAGTTTTGATAAGACAAACATATTTTTATTGTAAATGTGCTTGAAAGTGAACATTTTTAAAATTCAAAATTGATGAAGCTATTGCTGAACAGAATTTAAATTTAAATTAAAAAGTAGGAAAACCATTTTTAACAGAAAACAATACTTAAAGAGATAGATAATCTGGGTAAAAATATAATATAAAAAATAAAGTAAAGAGAAATCATACAGTAAGGAGATTTTGGATTTTTGTAAAATTTCACTAAACATAAAAGATAAGATATTCTATCTATAGGGATTGGACAATACAATATTCAGGTCAAAAAGCTATTATTGTCATATAGGAGGGCTTAATGTCCAACTATCCATTGGGTGATGTATACGAGGGGACAAACAACTTTACACTACGCTTTTAATATTATTATCAGTTAAAAAGGCATGGACTTTGCTGGAATTTGAACCAGTGCAATGACTCAGATGCCCAAACCACTCGACCATTGCAATCCCCTACTGGTCAGCCATTGTCAACATAGAATCCAATGTGTGGTGTGTAGTGACTCTCAACACGACACACAAGAATAACACAATTACGCAGAAAACAAACACTTTGAGCCCTGAAGATGATCTTAATAAAGATTGAAACATTGGCACGATAAAGAAAATGTTTTTCTAAAACCTACGTCACACCGGCCGCATCTCACGATCTCCGAATAATCATAGAAACTAATTAAGCATTTGCACCAAACACTTCTGAACCTTCATCACCAGTTGGAAAGATGACAAAATACCATTTCCAGGGTTAAAATAAAAATTTACAGGGTACAGTAGGGTAACCCACCCAAGGAGGGAAAATTTGACAGGTGGGTTGAGATGGGAAGTTGGTGTCTGAGTGGATCGAAGTCACGATAGCTCAAGTGGTAGAGCAGCGGCGTATTTAGCCAAAGGTCGTGGGTTCAAATCCCGCTCATGACACTGACTTTTTTATCTCAACCATCTCAATAAAGATTAATTAATTGAAAAGAAGTTATTTGGTCAATCAGAGCACGAACTTTAATGAATAAAAATTATTATACATTTCCACAAATTATGACAGTACTACATCAAGCACAATGGTTCATGGGCAATTGCTCAGTTCTCAGGCTTAATTTTAAAAAAAAATTGATCGTTTTTATGATTTTACAATGTGCAATTGTTTAAGTTTAAATAGCTGGTAGTTTTATGGAGAAAGTTTCCAGACAGGATTATTGGGTAAATGCAAGAAGAGCTATATTCCATTACATTTGAACAGGTTTTACTTTTTATGTCGACAAGTGTGCCGAAGATATCTTGTTCAAATAAAACTTTATTTTCTTTTCTTATTGGGTTATTGAAAAACAAATTCAATGATTTAAGAAAATAAAGCTTACTCCTTTATTTAGAAATAAAGTCAACAATAACATTGCATTTAATGGTTAACAATTAATGTTGATAAATGTAGGAAATGTTATAAAGTTGATTGATGTTAACAACTATTAATCAGGGGGCCATAGTAGCCAAGTGGTCAGCATTATAGACCCTCGGCTCCACACATCAAATACGAGATAGAATGTTCCTTGGCTAACATGCAAAGTTGCAAAGGCAATAAAAAAATCTTTTTGACTCAATAATAAAATTTGCAAGTTACATTTTGATAAAATATCAACTAAACTACTAAAACTAAATGTTATGAGTTACCTTTTTATTTCATTCTTTATGAAGAGTCATGTAAATTGTTATTTTTCCAGGGAGATTATACAAGAACAGGGGAGAGAAAATTGACTGGAATGATGAAAGATGGGATGAATTCTGCTAACCGGTGAGTAAAATATGCCAAAATAATTTCCCAGAAATCTGTTTTATTTTGTATTATTTTTTATACATTTCATCCCCTTTTATTTCCACACTGTTCTTTTACAATCATTAATTGAATTCAGGAACAACAGGTAGTACACATTCGACTTTCCTATCATCCATTGATTTAATTGAGAGACTTGTTAAATTCGTATCAGCCTACCATTCACATATAATTTTAAAAAAGTTATTTAAATAATGGAGTCTAATTCTTAAAATTTTAACATGCAGTTATCTGAGGCGGCTATTACTGGACGATTTGAGGCAAGGCGTAATCGATGTCTGCCAAGGTTCTGATTATGTTCTCCCTTCTCCCTCTTGCCTTCTGTTGTACGATACATTTGATATCTTAAGTTCGCCCTGTTATTATTCAAATCCTTTGCCGTTAGAACAAGAATTGTTGATTGGAATTGCAGCTTTTAACCTTTCAAGGTTAGTCTAACACTTATTATGTTTTAAAATGAAATGATACAACTTTCTTTCGCGTCTTGCTTTCTGTAATATAAAACTATAAGTCTATCTTTCAAAACAGAAAAGTTTTAATATTGTTTGTTTTAACCTCAAGTTTTAAAATTCTTTTTCTTGGTGGCAATTTTTACTCAAAACTTCACAGTAATCTTAACAAAACTGTAAGCAGTCTGGAAAACATTAAGCTTTAAAATTCCATTATAATAAATTAATCATAAATAATGAAAAAACATTTTATCTTTAATGTTATTGCAATTGCCTTCATTAATAAATAACAGGTTGTTTTTTTGCATATTTTAATATAAGTATTAATATATTTGCTATTACTGTCTTATTACATAATAGATTTTGCAACTTGATAGTCTCATCATTCCGGTCTGATTTTTCTTGCTGGTTCATCTGTTAAGACACATTTCAGTATTCAGTGTTGGTCTCTGTTATTTTGTCTTTTTTGCTAAATACATAATACTTCTAAAGCAAACATTAAATCAACCACATTAACATGCAAAATTAAAAAAAAACAAAAAAAAAAAAACAGCAGAATTCAAAATTACTCAGATTGGAGATGATAATACTACAAAGTTTCACCTTACAGACCTTACCACAATAAATGAAACGGGTTAGTTTTATAAATTTTGACATTGTCATCCACAAAAATAAAACTTGCAAACAATGCAAGGTTTAATTGCTGGGGGTTCCAGTGGTCACAACGGTTAAAACGTTGAAACAGCAACTCATTCATCATGGGAAGGTTAGTACTTCTAAATAGGCTTTTACAATGGGACCCAGTTATTAATGACCTCTGTATTTCAAACTCCTAGTTTTTTGTTTTTTTTTTAATCCTATTTATGTCTATTCAACATAACAATTTAAAAAAAGTTTATTAAATTGAAAAAATATTTTAATTTTTTTTTCTTTTTAATGGGCATCGAGTCCAGTAAAACCACCTATTTCTCAATTTATTTTCAACATTAACAAGTCTCTTGAAATTATTAAATACAGTTTATACCTTGATAAAAGTAGCGAAAGCACATAGTAACTTATGTCAGACTGACATACAACATTATCACAACCTACCACAGACTGGCTATTGAACTCAGGTGAGTTCAAAAATAGATGAATTGAAAGATATCTCTTTCTATAAATTGGTTTTGATTAAAATTTAGAACTTTTTTGGTATATTTGCCAGTGCACTTTTTAATATATCAAAAGCACAAATGGTTCGACACACAAAGTAGATCCATTTTTTTAAAATACTTTTGATTCTTTACACTATATCTACTGAGCATGAAGAAATTTTTACGTTTTTATAAATTAAATTTCAAACAATTTAATCTCTCCTTGATTAATATTAAAAAGTAGAATATTTTTTTCCTGCATGAATTTATATTCATAACAATTATGTGTAATAATAATTATAAATGACTTTTTTCTTCAATTTCAATTTCTTTGTAAATATTGATAAACATTGCATTTTTACAATCAAATTGAATTGAACCTAAAAAAAAAAATTAAAATTGAAGGAAAAAGTCAATAAAATTCAACATGTTATGAAATTTGATAAATAATTCGAACTATAATTTTTTTCTGAATGAATTTATGAATTTGCTGTTCACAATTAAATGCTTTTTTAACTTCACCAAGTACCTTGTAAAATTTCCAATTTTTTTTTTCAAAAATTTGTGTGCTCTACTATTGTATTTTGGAGTTTGTACGAGGGCAAATACCAGGGGTTAATTTTTTAAAAATTAGAATTAGGTTCATTCATTGTTAAACTTTGCAATCATGCAAGGCTTCCTCTTTAAAAAATAGTCCTCACATTTACATTGATTAATTATTTACAGCTGAGGCGAAGTTAAATTTTATTACAGACTTTTTGAATAGTGGTGACCATTTTCCATACTTACTAGGCTAAAATAATTCACAAAATATTTAAAATTTGCAAATCTTACAGCTTAAAAGCCGCAGTATACATTCTTCTTATTCTATTCAAAATGTCTCATGTCATATATTGAATGTTTAGATAATTAATAGTGGAAGGATTAGAACTGCAATGAAAGATGCATTTCATGCTACATTTTCTTTTTAAAGCATGCGAATATAATTCTAGGTATTACTTGAGCCGTTTCAAAGATGTTTATCGCCAAGCGACAATAGACATCATGCAAGGTAACATTTTTTGTGAAAACTATTGTTTTTATTTTTAATTTTTATTCTCTTTCAAGTTTAATCTGTTTAATCATTATTTTAACTTATTTTCGGTGCCTTTTGATTGTCGGTTCAATAGGTCAGCTTGTGTCAGAAGATGTTTTGAGTGGAGATGATGACACTGACGCCGCAGCAACAGCAGAGCATGTTAAACTCCTTATTGAAGACTGTAAAAAACTGCTGATCACAGATTCTTCACTTATTCTTGGTGCCTGGGGATTAATCAATGCTGATCCTATGTATGTACATAGTATGGAGAATTTTTTCAAATATGATGAGTTTAAATTATAATTTAAATCTAGTGTATTTATCTAACATTTTATTCTTATCTTTATCACATTTTTTCCAGAACGGGAGATGCTAGTGAAACAGATATGGACACAATTCTTATATTAACTCGAGAAGCATATTATGTAGCTGAGTAAGTTATTCATTTATAAATATAAATATCTATATTATATACCTTTTTGTTTTTAGTTATGATGATGAACTAGATCAGGTTGTGAAGTGTCAAAGGATTCCTTTAGAAGACATAACAATGGTTGAGTTAGGACCTGCTGATATGGGGATGTCACACTCGCCTCTTCAAATATTTAATAAAGTATGTCATACTTTTAATCCAAATACTACAATTTTTAAATTATCAAAACTTATGTTAAATCAGGGAAAGCACAAGCAGAACATTCAATATTGCTTAAGGTTTAGATACAAGGTGGAAGGAGGAGGCGGTGTTGTTTATCATCATACATTCAGATCAAGCAACTTGAGATTTTTCAACAATGTTGCCATTGTTATAAAAACTGAGGATGAGATGATTGGTAAGGGATGAAACATCTGTCTGTCTAGGAGAAAAAATTCAACTTCATGTGTTTTAGAATCTCTGAGGGCAATTTGTGACTGCATAAGAGTAGCAGTTGAAGTTTCATTCGACAACAATGTTCAATGGCATATTGGCGCCCCTCTGAACCGGATAACGCAGAAATCTGAAAACATGCTTGCACCAACTCCTCAAATGACAAGAAATATATCAGAGACTCAGCTTGAAAACATAAAAACTGCAGGTATATTACCAGACCAAAGTATTTATAAGTTTTGCATCCATGTTAGTAAAAAAAAAAATTTGGTTTTATTCCAGGGAGCAAAGCGATTTCTAACATGACTTCCAAAATTAATAAGATAGGCCGAACTCTAAATGTCAAAAGAAAGAACTCTTCTGCCCGAAAGGAAGATATTCAAGTGCCGGTATGTTTAAATACATAAAAACCATCACCTTATCATCACAATACAAATCATCTGGCATGTAAAACATTTGATTGTTACTGATCATTTTGGTTTTATAGACCAAACTAGGATAGGCAAACCAAAATGATCAGTAATGACTAAATTTTATGTTCACCATCTTACAGACATGGCAAAATCTCAAAGTTGTAAAACATTGTGATGAAATCTGAGTTTTCGATCATCCTGATCTGCCAATTTTCACTCATTCTGTTAGTTGTACACCCATTAGTCATTATTTTATCAGTTGTGTTCTTTTATAAGAAAAGATTTTTATAAACTGACTAATAAAAGGACACAAAACTGAAATTAACACACAGACCAACAAGTCAAAATGTGATTGATAAATTAAACCAGTGAGACAGAACAGGATGTAAGCGACAGGTTTATTATCTTGCATACCTCACTACAATGCAATATTTCATAATATAAATATAGCCTTGGTATCAAAAATTTGAATTTGTTTTTTGTAGGAGTTTACAGTTGGTGGTAATTCTTCTGACGAAGACGATGATGTTATTTGTGCAGACAATAGTGAAAAACAGCAAAAAGATACATTTTTGCCAAATGTAGGGATTGTAATGTCAAACACAGCTATAACTAAAGATGATGTCGATCCCGATGATGTAATATGTGAAGGGCTTTCAGATGAGAGGTCTGTGCCTAAAACATTAAATGTGACGCCTTGTGAACTGAAGGTTTTTAAATTTATTTCCTTTTCTCAATTGCGCAAAACTTTATATTAAAACTAAATCAAATTTAGGTCAGAACATTTTCTCATTCATCCGGCGAAGTTGATGATAAGGACCATTTCAAGCCAGAAGAAAGCTCACATTCGACGAGTAAGTTAGAACTAAATTTAGGTGGTATCACAGCATCTCAGAGTGAGAACGCGTTGAGATCGATCAAATCTGGGTTTTCCACTGCTACAAATGTACTCACAAGCCCTTCCGCTTCAGCCGCAGCTGTACTTTCTCCCCTCACTAAACTCGCTAAAGGGATGCAAACTTTAGGCGCTAATCTTGACATCAGAAGGTTGAAACAGGTACGACCTAATAATTACCAAGCTTCTGCTGAAACAAACAGGCTCAAAGAGATCTGGGCCTCGAGCGGTTGCAAGAGCAAGCTTATTGCCGTTTAGTTTCGCCCATTACTTCCTCACCAGGAATTGATTTTTATTCATTTTTTTCATTCAGAGTATATTCCTCCCAATCTGAGTTAGATATGAATTTTTATCATAAATATCTCTATAATGTAATTAGAGTGACAGGTGTTTGCCGAGCTATTTTGTAAATTCATATCTAACATTTTGCTATTTCCAATGCCTCACATTCCTTCCAGTTTACATATCTTCCCATTGAAATTTAAAAGTAGATTGTCCACCCTATTCAAATAACCCAATACATATTTTCTTCTACAAATGTCTTTAAATAAAAATCTTATTTTTGAACTAAACATTAAAAATACTTTAAACATTAAAAATGTTTACTCCATCAAATGGTCTTTTTAAATGTTTTAAAACTTTTCTTGAGTGACAAAGAAAGCTTCTATTTCCTCTTCAAATTGTACCTGCTATTTGATTCAGTATTAACAGAAAACCTTTCAAGAGGTTTAAAAAACTTATAAACTTTACTAAATAATCATTTTTAAGTATATAAGCTTATTTGTACTTATTATTCCTTGATTTCACGAACACTTTTTCTTATTTATTAATTTAATGTGATAATACATGTTTTGATTATTGTAACATTTGCTTAAATTAGATTGTGATTTATAATTTTCTTGTGCTTTAAATATTGTGTATTTATGATATTTCTTATGCTGTCTGAGACTGTATTTTTCGTACAGTTCTTATTAGCTCTACTTTTAAATCAATTACTTTGTCTTTATGTCTTTTTGTAATAGTTTAAGATTTAACAACAGACGAAAATAATTTAGAAATTAACATTTTACACGAGTACTAAGTTTAACTTCCAATAGAATTTATTTAAAAAACTAATCTACTAAGTTTTTTTAATTCAATTGAATAGTTTACATCTACATTTTATATGATGGCTTATTGAAAGTTGCCTTTTTTTGTTGCAAGTTTTAAATTTATGAATATTTAATTTATGTAAGACATTTTTTAATTCATTTGATCTCAATTTTATGCCAAAATCTCTGATTCAGCTTGATCATTAGACCAAAAGTTGTAAAAACTACTTTTTTTATATTTTTGTTTGTACAAAAAGTAGTAACACGCATAAGCTGATCAGGTTTGACTCAAAAGCAATTTTAAATTGAACTGTTCCATAAAAACTCAGATTATTCCACTCCACCCCCTCCCATTAGTTTCACATGAATTAAATACAAATTCCCAAACAAAAATATCAAATTCTGTGATTTATTAATGATATTTTAAGTTTAGGTTTTACAAGTCAGGCCTGTTGTCATTAAATGAGCTGATTACTGTTTAATGTCTGCAAATATAAAAGTTAAGTTCCAAAAGTTTATTTATGTTAATAAAAAAATTATATATTCCATTTTATATGTACAGATTAAGTAAATCAGTTTAACACTTACTTAATTTGGCTTTAATTTTAAGCCTAAGACTTTGAAAGATGATCTCATTTATTTTTCCACTTATTTACTTGCTCTGTTGAAAAATATTTTAGACTCAGACAGCATTTTTATTTATAAGTTACCTATTTGTGATAGAATTTTAGTTTCAGGTTATACTTTTAAAAAAAATTAATTAAACTGTTTCATTTTTATTAAAAGTAAGTAAATGTCTTTAGCTGATTGTGGTTTGAATAGAATAGAGATGTAGACGAGAGCTGAGAGCTTATATCAGTAGTTCCCTCTCCCTTTGAAGAAATCTCTCTCTGAGAGGAAAAAAATAAAGTCAAAAGTTGTGATCAGGACTTCCATTTTTCTAAAAAGGACGTGCATTTCATTTTCTATTCTATTCCAATGTTGAAATTAAAAATTTAAAGTGGTGACCAAATTTGCAGCTTTATAGTGTGAAAACAATAGCTCAAAAAGTTGGAATTGTATATGTCATAGTATTAAATAAAAAAATAGTGAGAAGACTTAGCAATTAAACTGTGAAATAAATAATTTATGTTATTATTGTACAAAGAGCTTTTATTCAAGTTTCCAAGTTATAATTGTAACTTACTTTTCTCATGAATTTTAATTGACGTCTTTTTACATAATTTTGACTTCTAATATATTTTTTCTTGTTTCAAATATTTGAACATAAATTGTCAAATTTATAAACTTATTAAAGGCTCTTTGACCTGTGAATCATACGTGATAAGATTTTATTTAATCAAAGTTAATTTTGACTAACGGTTAATGTTGCATATTTGTCATAGTTCAAGCCTCGTTTGTATCACTTTTGAAAGTGTAGTTGCCACTTAGTTTGCTTGTACTCAATAAGACTAATCAAAAACTGCCTTGTAAGTGGATGTTTAATTGAAAATCGATGACACAAGACTCCAATTTAGGATTGGGTTCGCAATTCCCAAAGTGCAGTGGAAAAAAATTGTTAACACCAGTTGGCAACTAATGTCAATTTGTAACGTAAAATTAACACTAGTTGAGCTTTGAAATAATATATTTTGTGATGTAGCCTAGTTGCAATAATTACATCAATGTGTAGAATTTATTATGCAATATTTACAATTAAAAGAAAAAAATATATAATCTTTCCCTGTAAAAATTTGTTAATTTCACTTAAGCAATTAAATTATTTAAAAAATAAAAGTGCTTTTTTTGCTTTGTTTTTTAACTAATATTGCAGGTTCTGAAATATCCAATATATATAAAACTGGAAACTGGTTCGATGGCAAATAAGTAATTCTTATAAAGTAACTATAAAAAGAGGCGGAAAAAAATAAATAGAAGAGTTAATGTTCACAAAGAAATATTTATTCACAACTCCATAGTTAACAATAGAAGTTTTCATTTTTTTTTTTTTTTTTTTTTTATATATAACATTTTGGTTATTTTATTTATTTAAACTTTTTAAAGGTTTTTCTTTAATACATACTACTAGTTGTCTAAATTAAACAAATGTGCTTGTAAAATTCCTTTTTATTTATTTTAAAATACCAGTTCATCGGCAGATTCTTAAATTTGAATGTGTAATTTTGCACCAATTTGTCCATCATTTCCAACAAAAAAACCAACTTAGAAGGGAAAATTAAAATAAACTTCCATATCTCAATAGTGAACTTTTTTTAAACAGTGTATACACTTGCTGACAAATCAACTGCCAAAGAACTGGAAATAAATCGGATACACTGTACTATAACTTAAGTCATTTTTAAACGGTAAAAAATATGGGGGTTTAACCAGCAAATTTCCACGTTTAAAAATGACATTACTCCATCTTAAAGTGAACATCATTATATAAACATTTTTATACGTTTTTTTCTAAAAAAATAAATTAACAATAATTATTTATCACAGACAAAAACTTTTTATTATAATAGTTGTTGATGGTGATGAGCGTGGCGGATAAACAAAATTAGTACAGGAATGAAACGACGCCCATTCCTTTACTCTGGATATCATATGAAAGCGTTCGCTCTCCAATAGACATTGCCACCACCTTGAGATTTCTTTCTTATTTAATTTTTAAACAAATGAGAAAGAGTAAACTTTTGAACTTAAGTTATACTACATTTTTTCTTAAAATTTGTATTTAATAATATTTTTTACAATATTTTAATCAGTAATGTTTCTTGCCCATCACAAGTGTATACTTTTTCTATACGACTACTGTGAGCTAAAGTAGAGCTTTTCATATCCATAACATATCTCTCCTTCCGTTAATTACACTCATGGTAACTTAATTACAGATTAACAACTACCTGTAAATCTTTTTTTTATAATACAAAAAAATATAACAAAAAAATTTGAAGTTTTAAAACTTAACAAAATGTTGAATTTAGATTACAAATAACAATTTGTAATATTGCCGTTTCTAAGGTAGATTTGAAACATTGAAATAATTGTAAAGAGTATTTTCCCCTTTGCAGAGTAGAAATGCACATTATTATATAAGAGCAAATTTCTCCGAAACAACATCAATGCTGTAACAATTTAAATAAAATGGAAATGGTCAATTACGTTTAAAACTGATAGCTATAAGTCAGTTTCCTACAAAAATATACAGACAATATTAAAATTTTTCTTCTTAATTTATTTATGGAGGCATGACATTATTTACAAATTTGGGTCAAAAATATACATTTGCCATAACAATTTGATGAAAAAGAGCATGTCGCAGGATCAACTTTTTGGATGTTTCAGTTAGAGAGATTTAGCTCATAAGAAAAACCATTCTTTAAGAACAAATCCTAAATCTTCAACCGAGTAGTATTGGATCTATAACACATTACCATTACTTAAACTTTTCTCTTACTAAAGCCACTTTCAGTAAATACATGTATGCTTTTTTTGTTTTTATTAGAATCTTTTTTCTCTCCAAGGGTGCGTTGGTGTGTTATTTTTCTTAGCTACGCGTTACTTCTAGTAGAGTTGGGTCTGATGGTGAAAAAGCAACAACCGATGGTACTGCATAAAGGCCAGGACTTAGCGAAGGAAGCTCCCTAAAACATTTGACAATATTTAAATTCACATTGCAATAGCTGATTACAAAAATAATTTCATTTATGTTTTTGATCAAGTATAAATGTTAGTATAGAATGACTGCCAACAATATTTTATAAAACCTTGAAAACTCTGCATACCAGAGTTCTTCATGTGAAATTACTGTATGTGTACAAGTGTATTCTTGTGTGACATGTCATAAAACAAATTTCACAGAGAAAACAATGATGAAACTTCAAAGTAAACATTTGCAAAGGAAACTTACGCCAGTTTTTTATTGAAACAATATAATTCAACTAGTTGAAAATGGGAAAATGTTAATAAAAAAATAACTGACAAAATAAATCTAAATAGAAAGTAAAAAATAAAAACAAAACTCACTAATTACACATAAAAATAGCTTCATTTAATTGGTACGCCATATCCAGCTTCAAGAGACCATGACTGGATATCACTCGGCCTGATATTTACTGTGTCGTGTTTTTCAAACTTCAACAAATGTTTTACCTCCTGAGGGAAGAAAACGTAGGAATGCTAGACAATTATATTACACTTTTCTAAATAATTCTCCAACATTTACTGCATGTGCTATGACTGTGACTTTTTGGTATTTTTTATTTAACAGATTGAAACCACAATTTAAACAACAAAAATAACGAAATGAAAGGATGTTTTTTCAATGTAAAAAATACAACAGTATGCACATTTAAAAAAATAAATATTTTAATACAAAACAGAAAATATTTCTTTGGACAAAATTTTAAATTCTTTTCTTAATATCCAACTCCCACATCTTTCCTTCACAATATAAATTTTTTTTATCATACATACTTTGGTACAATAACTCACATGCAATATTAATGGCATATGTGTAATAAAAGTAACATAATATGTGTAATAAAACGAAGCTTCTTTTTCACCTTGGTTTTGAATCATAGTCATCCTTTTTCCTTGGTATGAGTATATACTTCGCACATTCATATGTTGACCAGCAAATGGCTGTGGAAGGCATTTGGTAAAGAACTCTTGCGTTGACACCTTTAAAAAATCCTAGAGGACCACTGACAGAATAAATCGTCCTAATTGCATTTAACAACCCCCTTACTTCCATTTTACCCTGAGAGAAAATTTTATATGAAAAAATAAATTACTTTTCTATATTAATAATCAATTGATTCATACCTCTGATTGAGTATTGAGAAGGGTTTTGCATACATCCAGGGGTGTTGTTATGGCTGCTGCGATGCCGCCAGCCAATGCACCTGACATCATATGTGCTTTCGGGTTATAATCCCGATTAGGGTTTGATATCGATTGCAACAATTCGTAGATCATAAAATGTATACTTTGAAATGGTACATTCATTGAAAGTTGTGTTGTATAAGAGCGATAAAATGCACCAATTCCTTCAGACGCATAAACCTTCCTTATACAATCAAACATCCCTCTGTAAGGACTATCATACATTTGTAATCTTTGTTTAATGGCTGAAATAAAATTTAATATGTTAAAAATAAAATATCTGACAAGTTCACTGATCAGTTACCATCACTAGGTGTCATTAAACCGTCATGTAATATTGTCGATATCATCCCAGCAGCACCTACAATTAAGAATATTCATTAAAATTACAAACATTATCATAAAATTTTTATTTTACCTATCACATACAACAAAAATAATATTAACATACATATAAAATTACTTGTATGTAACACAGTGTTTACACTGCCTTCGATGTAAATTATGAAAACACCCATAGGATCAGGAATTTATTCATAAAATTTCAAAATGGAAAAAAAAAAGACAATTGCCGAAAGGATTAAATTAAACACTTGCACCTGATGGAACAACACTCTAGGTTATAGACTGGCAAAATTACAACCCATTCAGTACTGTGAGCATGATGTGCTCTTACTTCCCCCAGTGAGGTACTGAGAGCATGCCATCACACTAACCCCTTGCTCTACTCAGGAAATGCAAGCATGATATTGCGTTTAGTCTCTTAATTTTTAGACTGAACTTTGAACACATCAAAGAGTGTGCTTAAAAAAGTAACCAGCGTTATGTTTTTACCACTAAAAATAACAACAGCACACGGATTCTATGAATTTACAAATGAAGAGAGTAGAGTGTGATATCACAATTTCAGTACCTCACTTGGGGAACGAAGAGCATGATATCACGCTGACCATCATGAAAGGATGTACTTTTTAGTATAATATAATATTATAATCTCTTCATGTGAATGTTGGGACAATAATTAACACATCAACATCTATTTTATAGAGATAACACAAAAAAAGCTCAACCGTGAAACACAGAATGATTTGCAATTACATTGGAATTGTATGGTATCGCTCGTAGTGTAAACAGGTTGCACATTGATCCATAGAGTCAAATGACAGCTCCTTTCATTGCGATTTCAACCTCTGCTTGCACAATATCGCATCAGTATATGCCCCCCCCCTAGGTTTAAATTTCTAGCTAGCTAATAACACTAGAGACACTGTTTTTGCAGTTAATTTATCAAGAGCATTTGTCGTTGTTACTACAAATGATCAGATAAATTAATGTATCAATTTGTTTTTCATCTGAGGGGGAAACAATAATATCTTATAGTAATAACATTATTATTAATATATTGTAGTAATTGAATTAATAAATAAATATTGAATTCTTTTATGAACTCTCATCTGTAATTTTTAGCTTGAACTGGAAAAATTTTTTTTTTTGCCATTTTTGGTATTCAAAACTTTAAACCCAGGTGTGTCAGGATTCACATTTGCAAGTATAATTACTGTTCTACACCTGAATAAAGTGTGTGTGAAAGAACAATATTGGAGTAATTATTTTTGTTATCGACTGGTCTAAAATCAATGTTATTTCATGCGTAAAAATAGTAAACAAACTGCGGTAAATTTTTAAAATTTTGAACTTGGAATATCGAAATTTTGATTTATTTTACATACACATTATTTTCAAGTTTCAGAATGCAAATAACCTTGACAAGCTGGTAAAAGAGGAAATATACAATTTAAGGCTATCAATTGAAATCCAACATTGCATCACACACGCTTCCAACAGCGAATTAATGATAAATACTAACCATCATATTATTACACACTATTTTCTGTTTATATCACGTTATTTTTTTTTATTTTTTTTTTTAAGGTTAAGGAAACTTACCGTATGCCACTTGGTTGTTCATTTTAAACTTAGATATAAAAGTTTCCTTTAAGTATTCGTAACTAGAAAAGTACAGGGCATGCGCAGGTCCTGCACCCATCACGACGACATGTATTCCCTTGATCGGTCTGAAAAGCCCCTCCTGCATCATCCGAGTCATGGCAGACATTATGCTCCTGTCACGATTAATTGTCAAACTCTGCATTCTCGTCTATACAAATTAAGAAAAAGAAATGATAAACTTGTACTATTTTAAAATTGTTACCTTCAATAAAATGAAAATAAGTTATATAGTCCACTATTTGATGTAAAATTTGTAAATTATTTTAGTAATAATGATAAAGATAATAAGTCTTAAAAAATTTAAATCTGATAATTTTTTATATCTTGTATTAAGCTGCCAAATGATTATCAACTGTCTTGAGCAGTTAGTAAGATATATTTTTCAAAATGTGTATCTACAATAATGTGCATATATGTTAAGTTTTTATAAAATTAATCAAAGAAAAAAAATAAGTACAGAAATTGTTAATGTTGTTTTTTTTTAAATCCCTTCATGATGTTTCAATTGTTTTAATCAAGGTTCTTGAACAATTCAGATTTTGTTTAATCTATAAGTTAAACCATAATAAATAACAAGCAAGTTGGGGACCAAGGTGGCAAAGTGGTTAGGGCGTTCACTCATATATGGTTCTGGGTTCAAATGCCTAGGCTTTTTAATGGACCATAATAACAGAAATGTATTACAAAGTAGTTTGTCCCCTCAGGCAACTGGATGTTAAGCCCTCCTGTATCATGGAATCACTTAGGCAACAAGAATAGAAAAGAAAAAAGAAAAAGATTGTAAATACAAAAACCTCACAATTTGTTGAATACAAATAACACAATTTTTAAAATATATATAACTTTTTATTATTCTTTCAAAATTCAATATTTTATAATAGTAACATAATTTTTTTTTTATATTTAGTTGTCAGTTGTTCAATCGAATGTTATAGTGTAAAATTAGTAATTTTTGAAATTAACATTTACAAACAATAGCAATGGAAAAAAAATACGATGTAGCATTGTTTTTTCACTACTGTGAGCAATCGTATAATGTAGAATATTTTATGCCTGCCGCCTTGTTCGAGGATACTGTAATTATGCTGCCACAAAATTCAGGGAATGATGGGTGTTTTTACCCCTGCCACCAATTGACAATATATTTATTTTTAAAGAATGTGTATGAAGGAGAATGAGAGGAGACTCTAGCACCTTACCCCTACTAATGCCTTTCTTCAAGCTCTCTTTGCTCTATCAAATGAGAATAAATGCGACAATGCTACAACACCCATGTGTAGATTTTGTTTAACTAAGTGTTTTGTGGCTGTACTTCAGATCGTGGTAATTGCCAAGCCAAAGTGGGGGATGGGAATCAAGGAAGTTCTTTCATGCCTGTAGCAAATATTAAAAGATTGCACAATTGCATCTTCACCTGTGTATTTACCAAACAATAAACTATGAATTTGATCACTTTTTAATTATTGATATTGTGAAAAAATTATACTACAAACTTAATTATTTTAATTAATTATCCTGAAATCCTACCTAACAGACCACTGCTTCAGAGTGAGGTGTGGCAACAAGTTCTTGGAAAACAAACATGTACATCAACAAGAGATACCAACTTCCACCTAAGTCAAATATCTAGGACTATACCTAGCACACAGCAGATTGACGTGCAGCAATGCCCACACAAGACTTATAAGATAATTTGAAGATTTGGACAATTACAAAGACTTTTAGGACCGAAATCTGCCTAAAATGTCATCATTAAACTAACCTTGTACTTGTACAAGACTACAGAGTGGAACTGTGAGGTTCTTCTAAGCCATCCAAGTCCAGTGTATCCAATCCTTCCAATCAAAAGTCCTCAGACAAATCCTCAAAGTTGCTTACTATGTCACTAACCTCACTGTCTACACCAACCTCAATATTCCCTTTATTAACGAATTGATTCCATGAGTGAATTTTGATCCATTCCCGATTCAAAAAGTTTCACACCATCCTAACTTTACTGCTAGAGTACTCTCTACACATGCCCATCCCAAGACCCTGCCTTGTTGCCTAAATTGATGATGGCCTCGAGACTTCCTTGCCCCTTAATCACTGAGTGTCATAAGTGTTAGTGCTGTGACTGTGTGAAATAAAGTACTGTAATCACATTTGTAATTTGTACTAACATGTATAGGCTACAAATAAAAAAAATAATAACACTAAAATAAAAAATAAATAAATTTAAAGAATTAAAATAAAACTAAGGTAAATTAAATTTAAAACTTATCAAAAAAGTTTATCACTTATTGTTCTATTTTCAATACTCTTATCTTGCAGTTAACTACATCAAATCGCTATTAACGGTAATGTCAAGATTTCTCTTAGATAATAGCAATTTTGTTTAATCACTCCCTGAACGATTACCATTCTAAAATTGGGAAGGTGAACATGAACTGGAAATACCAAACAAAGCTAACCGGGTTTTTTTTCTAAAATTAACTGTCCGTTTCTAAAGACAGTTGCATCTTTCCCAATTGATTAATAAAGGGCTTAGGGACAGATCAGTTACATTGTGACCAAGGTTTATTAGTAAATTCCTTTCTTTTCTAACAGACAATACATGTCACCTGAGTTTTCACCTTTCATTAAATATAAAGTTGGAAGTAACCCAAAAGGTTGTCTATAAATATTTTTTGCCCGCTGACATAACAAGTACCATCAATAATGGTACATTACATTTACAATACAACAATAAATTTTAAAAAATAAAACAGCACTGCACTGAGTAAATTTTTAACTTAAAATGGATCACAAAAAAATATTTTAAAATAATCTCGAAGACAAAAAAACCACACACTCATATTTTGTTTTATTTCAAACTATACGTATGTATTACTTTAATTACATATTTTATTATAAACAAAATTAAACGAGATTAGAAATTCGTGGATTTTAAGAAAAAATATCTAATTTGATGGTTTGAAAGAAAGATCACCAAAACACCAGAAATCTTTTAGTGATAAAATAAATTTATCACGTTACTAAGAGCAAAACCAGGTAATATACTGCTAGTTAAATTTTAATCTACCACTAAATGATTTTCCAGTATTTTGGTGAATTTTCTTTCAAACCATCATAATTAATCTTTTTTAAATTAAAACTCATGAATTTCTGAACTCAATTAATTTGGTTTACATTAAAATAAGAATTTTGTAATTAGTATAACAATAAAAGTACATACATATAGTTTGAAATAAATGCCTTTTTTAGTCTGCGAGTATATTATTTAAACATTTGCATTTCATCAGGTCTAATCAATTTGCCAACAATAGTAATAATTTGAAAACTTTTTATCAACTGTTAGCTATTCCATTATTCATAAGCCATTCACATAAAGTGTAAGATAAAACAATGGCGTTATAAATTATAGTTTGATAATTTAATTATTTATAACACCATGGAACTTTAACCTATCTATTTTCTTGTTGTCTATTTCAAAACTTTAAACGTTAAAGGTGTTTACATGATATTTTTAAAAAATTAACACTTTTATAACAATTTAACAACAAAGATCAAACTTGATGGAAATAAGAATAATTTAATTGCAAAACCAAACATAAAATTTATTAAAACTTTGTTCACTATTTGTACTTTCGATGCAATTACTGTACCTATACATATTAATAACTACTTTCATCCTAAAAAGAACAGTAAAAAAATGACGGGAACAGAATTTCTTCAGAAAAAAAATTTAACCTGGTTTATATAACATATAATTTTATGTTATTAATGTTTTAAAAGCAAACCCTTGTTAAGAAAGTAGTTGAAAAGTTGTTTAAATATGGCAAATCAAAATTAAAAAAAGTATTGTGGAGCTAATTGAGGAACATGCCTCTTCAAGGACAATTCAAGTAAACATGAAAATAAGAATCAACATCACTTGCACCACATTTGATCAACAGCTCTGTTAATATAGCTATATATATTATATAGCTGAAATTGTATTTAAATGTTGTAATTTTGTGGTGTGTAATATACTACATCCTTTGAACATCTATTTTAATTGTAATTGTATCTACTTATTTAAACATTATACTTGGTTGTTAAAAATCATTTTGGTCTACTTATTGAATAATAAGCAATCTGTTGACTGACACAATGGTGAAATACCAAAATGCGGTCTGACAGACCAACCCAGCAAAGATAGGAAGACCAAAATCATCGAAAACGACCAAATAATAGGTTGATCTCCCGCTCATAACAAGGATAAATCTCACATTTTACAGAGTACTAATTAAACAAAAAGTCATTTCTCGAAGGATATGACACATACCACCAAGTTTGTAGATTTATAATTTCCATTGTTACTCATTGCCAAGTTATCAGAACTTAATGCATTTGTTTTCATTTTATACATATTATTGAAATACTAATTTTATTTAGGTTCCATAAATTTTATCTTGTTCAAAGGAAATCAGCTATGGTAACAGAAAAAAACACCTTGGCAAGGTTGGTACATGTCATAAAAACATCAAGACTAGATTTATATTTTCTTAACTACACATTGTCAATGACAATTTGTCATATTTTCTATTTACTCTTGCCTAGAAAAAAAATTTATGTTCTTTTCATTCCCATGATTGTCAATCTTATACAGTTCACTGTACATACATTCATAGATCATATTAAGCATTTTTTAAATTTTATAATGCAATTAAAATGCAACAAGCAAAAATTATGTTATTTACAATAATATAAATGTTCATATACACATGCACATACACAATATTGCATGCACATTTTCATGTCTGGTCTTTGAAAGGCCACCAATAAGCCAAAATTATTATTATTATTATTTTTTTTTTTTTTTAATTGGCTGAAGAACAAAGGTGTACTACAAACACATCATCACAACAAGAATTTCCTCAATTTATGTTTTTATTGATAAATTTTCTATTCATCCACGCACAGTAAAAAATCTGTTTTTGAAGGTTGTTTAAATATGTAAATAAAATTTGTGTTTGTACAACATATTGACTGCCATAGACATGACAATTTTATTTTCTGAAGTTTTTAAGGAAGAGCTAGCTCTTTTAATAATTTTATTTTTACATCAAAGTTTTTATTTTTAGAGCAAAACTAAAAGAGCTGTAAACAAGATAAAATAACAAAACTAGAGCAGCCCTCACACCCGTTGGATCCATACAGGAAATTTGCCCCAAAGCATGCTAAATGCAGAAGAAAGAGATGGAGAGAGAAATGACCACCACAAAAAAAAAATTAAAGAAATTCCTCAACATCTAACCAGGTAAACAAAAATCTACTCCTCTCCCAGTAGGCAAAAATTGAGGAAAGGCCTTTATATTAATTTAGGAAAAGGCCATTAACCATTTAATAACCACCAAAAAAATGGGAAAACAGAGAGACTCTGCCATGAAGAAGCAGAAATATCAAAGTCTGTCCTTTATGACAGCATAGCATTAACTCAGAAACAGTACAGCCTCTTTGGAAAGGAGTATTAACACCTAAACTAATAAGCAAAAAAACCCAGAAAGTGCTAACCCCACACTTTTTGAGGTTTAGAAATAAAGAAGAGTCAATTACATAACAGATCTTTTGGGTCATAATGGAAGAAAGGGAGAATTTGGTCACCAGTGAACCAGAAGAAGGGGAAAAAGAGCTGTACCTTCTAATTTTATTCATTTGTAGTATATTTTATATAGTTTGTGGACATATATGTTGAATTGTTTATATTTGTGTTGACTAGTCAGTGCTAATGAACTATAAATGTTCATAAACAGTTTTACCCCAGGGAAAACTTAGTTTTAATTCCCCACCAATTTTCTAATTTTAATTTACGCTGATGAGAAAAAGTTTATGCCAAAGTATCACAAATTTTGTAAATATTGCATTTTAAGGGAAAAAATATATTATTATTATGGGTTGAAGATGAGTGGTATATATGGGTATGGGCATAAAGGAGCCTAAACTATGAGCACATTTCCCTCGGGCCCACCACAACCAAGTTTGTTTTAAGCCAAACTGCCATCCATTGAAATATGGATAACACAGCACACAAAATAAATAATAAATATTCCAAGGGTGCAACAATAATAATGCTTTCAGATAACCGAGCAACTCTAAAAGGTCTCCAAGCTTTAAGAGATCGACTCAAAACTTGTCTGGAACTGGCTAAAGCCCTAAAAATAAATTAATTAATTAATTTAAAAAATCGGACCTACAAGTAGGCAGATGATGGGGTCCCAAGTCATAAAATAATTTCAGAAAACGAGGCAGCAGATACACCTGCTAAAAAGGATCCTCGGAATGACTCATAGGCCCAAATCTATTTTGTGCCATAATTTTTAGACTCGTTAATAAAAGAATTGGATTGTTGCAGTTGACATGTATTCCTTGCCTTTGACCAAGAAAAGTGTAGATTTACCTTTTCCAACTGCAATGTGATGTAAAGAAGTACATGCATATGATTTTGTATGTTCTATTTTTAACATTTGAAAGGAAAAGATCTAATACTTTATTTTTATAGTTTTTGTTATTTATGTAAGTTATTTCCATAAACATTATTACATAGGATTGAATTTTTCTTTCCGTTAGGGATGAATGTTTTAATCAGTGCAGTTTAAATAAGAACAATTTAGTCTTTTTTCTATCGATAAAATTTTTATAGTTTATTAAGATGTTTTGTATGTTTAGAGTATTTTATTGTATATTATTATTCTTGTTAGAAATACTACATATCATACAAGATAATATTAGACAATTCACTGTATGCATGTAGTTTTTCCAGTTGGTAAAAAATTAAAGATAGAAAAAATGATTAACTTGCAGGTGAGATGCCTTTCTTGACATTGACCAAGAAATGTGTCAATTTATCTTTTCCAACTGCAATGTGACGTAAAGATAGATGCATATGAGATGTCTGTTCTATTTTTAACACTTCAAAGGATATGATCTAAGACTTTAATTATTGTTTATGTTATGTTATTTATTCCCATATACATTATTGTACAGGATTGGTTTTTTTCCTGTTGATAAAATTTGTTATCTTACCAAGCTGTTTTGTATGTTTAGAGTTTCTTGTTGTATATATTATTCTCATATTCTTGTTAGAAAAACGATATATAATGCAAGATAATATTAGTAAATTAGTACAATTCACTATACATCTTTATTTAGGAAAAAATTTAAATATACAAAAAAAAATACGCTCACAGTTCACGTCTTCCTTGCCACTGACCAGGAAAAGTGTAGATTAATCTTTTCGAACTGGAATGTGACATAAAGATGTACATGCATATGAGATTGTATGTTCTATTTGTAACAATTGAGAGGGAAAGATCTGACTTTATTTTTATTATTTTGATTATTTATATAAGATATTTCCATAAATATTATTGTGTATGACTGGATTTTCCTTTCAATTAAGGACGAACGTTTTTCTCAGTGCAGTTTAAATTAGAACATATTGGTTATTTCTTTTTGATAAATTTATTACAGCGCACTAAGCTGTCATTATAGCGCACAATTGTCTTATTGTATAATCATATTTTCTTAAGAAAAAGTACATATAATGGAAGCTAATATTAGACAAATTAGTACAATTCACTGTATATCTTTATACAGGAAGTTTTTCCAGTAGGCAAAAATTTAAATTTAAAAAAAATTATACACTTGCAGTTGACATGCCTTCCTTGCTATTGGCTATGAAATGTGTAGATTTATCTTTTCCAATTGCAATGTGATGTAAAGACGTACATGTATGCATGTATGTTCTATTTTTAACGTTTGAAGAATGATGATCTAAGATTTTATTTTTATTGTTGTTGTTATTTATGTAACTTATTTCCATAAATGTTATTGTATAGGAACTGGATTTTTCATTTCGTTAGGGATGAACGTTTTAATCAGTGCAGTTTAAATTAGAATAAATTGGTTGTTTCCTTTTGAGAAATTTTAATAACTTACTAAGCTGTTTTCTATGTTTAGGGGTTCAATATATTAATAATTCGAGGGGTTTTTTAATGAGGATTTTCGGGCAAGCGTTTTAAAAAAAGAAAATTGGGCTTCGGTTGTGCAGATGATAATTCGAGGGGTAAAAGTGGGAGGTCATTGTAAAAAAATTGTCAAAACCATTGCCGACGGCGGGCCAAAATATATCAAAAAAGCGTGCCTCTCCTTGGAAAAGCGTGTCGCCTTCTTCAAAAAATTTTTTCAGAACAGATTCACCGGATGTCAGTCTTAGGAAAAATGAAAATAGTTGCATTTCAAAATGATATCAGAAGATAACCTCAAAACGACTTTACAGGGTGGGAAAGAGTGACCGGTGGGGTCCCTCCGTTGGGTATTATCCAGAAAACTTTCCAACCCGTTGTCAAAATATTTTTAGAAATTTCCCAGACTCACCTTGACGGAATCCAGAGGGTACATGACTGAATGTTCCAAAATCCCTGCCACAGCACCAGCCATCATGTGGCTGGTAACGTTGGTCGTCGGTAACGTTTCATAGTCTTCAAAGTTCATAATACGGCGGATCCGTCACCTGGCACGATTTCGACAAATTGATTTTGCACTACTGTACTGAGAATTTGGATGTAAAAACTCACGTTGTCCGGTCAACAACGTGAATAACAGGTCCGGGAGGCTAAACGAAAAGTGGAACAACTGACCTACGGTTACATACCATTCGTTTTACCCCGGACCGCGGTCGGCACTGATATTACTTTAAAACACGGAGGCTTTCTTCGGATCTTCGAGGCACGATCGTCACTACGTCCGGGAACCTACTCTGCACGGTGACGGTCTGGCAAAAAGGCAGAAAATCAACATTGGTAATCTCATAAAGGACGGTCTCTGCTTCTGACGGTCTCCGTGTTTTGCTGAAGCAGCACACGCCACACTGCACGGTAGACACTACGGGCGAGTGTTTCAACCGTCAGCCACGAGATTACATCACATTCATTTCTCTCTCTTCACTCCCCGCATTCCAAGATTTGTTTACTTTCTTTCTCCTTAAAACGTGACCGATACGACTTCCTTGTCAAATTATTCGATAAGAAACAGATAAAAAGCACGTTTAACTCTCTTTTAAACTGAATTTAAAACATCAATTAAAAAGCAACATTCCAACTACATTTCTAAACACACATAACACATTAAAAACAACAACAAGTTTATTTGGTATCGCAATCAATCAACTATATAAAAAAAACTAAATAAAAAAACATTCTTAACGAGAAAAAAGTTTTAATAATAAAACCGAGTTTCATCCTTTCATCCAGAGGCTGTGACAGAATCGATTCTTCCCTAACTTTTGAAGTTAACGTTCAACGGTAGCGCGCACTCCGTACCCGCTACTCAGGGCTCAACGATCCCGTGCTCTTATGGCCGTGGTTTCCCCAGTCGATTTAGCAATGTATTAAAAATCCAGACGTTTGGAACGGGTTTGTCATCATTATCAACCCGGAGGCTTTAACTTTTGAGGTAATTTCGTTTTTTGTTTTAAGTGTGACACCTGTTATCATAATAAATTTACCAGTTTGGATCTTATCTCTCTTCAATTTCGAACTCCCTCGTGTATTAATAAAATTAAACATTTCTTTTTACCATCGTTGAAAATTGTTACGGGAACGTGTAGCGTAATGCCATTGCAGTATGCAGCAAGTTGCAACTTGCTGTAAGCTGCATGGCAACAATCAGTTACCTATACTTCTAACTGGAGTAAAAGAAACGTAAAACGTTTCTCTTATTGATGATGCTCTGTCCATTTTTATGTGAACTATTCAGCTATTCAAGCTCAGTTGTTTATGTCATAATGCATACAGCATGAACCGTCTATTTGATGTACAAAACATTTTTTGTATCATTAGCATTGTTACAACAGAATGGAGTAATTTGAGTGTTACAACAATATTCCATAACAATTTATTTCATTACACATACATTAACTAATTTTAAAAAAGTTTGAATTTAGCAAAAATGTCTTTTTTTTAGTAATAGGACCTGTTTCTTTATTATATAAAATTCACTCTCAAATGAATCTCACTGAATTGTGAAGATTTGTTCCTTTTTATGTGGACTACACCGATGGACAAATTTAATCATCTCTCTATTTAATTAATGTAAAATTAAATTCATTATCTCTACATTAGTTACAGGTAATTACGAGCTATTGCAGCAAAATAAACAGTAAATAATGCATTGTTTACTTTTGTATTGATTTGCACAAAAAGTAGATTATTCCATTTTGCTATCCCTAAATCCAATAAAAAAAAGAAAGAAAAAGACCCGGAATATGTGCCTGCACGACCATTGTACATTCTGTTCAGACAAAAAGACCAATGGGAGATCACAAATTGTGTCAATTCTATACTGGGGAAAAAAGGTTTTATCTAGTCCCAACTTTACACATATATTTAAAATAATTTTCATAAAGTGCTTGAGATCTTTTAAAAATAGTACAAAGTATTTACAATTCAACAATTTGATTACCATAAGGTAAACGTCAACTTGATCTGAGAGCAGCAAAAAGAAACTAAATTTTTGAAAATCTGTCTGGGTAGTAATTTGATCCGAGTAGGGTGCTCGGGCAATGGTTCGAAGGATTTTGTACTGAAGTGACTGGATTTGTGGAGATTGGATTGGTAGAAAACTACAATTCCGTACATCCAGATTGATAGTAGCAGTGGTGCATAAATGAGGCGTTTGTTTTGCCCTGAAAGTTTCTATCTGTTGACAAGTAAACTTTTGAATAGACAAATATAATTAATCCTTTATCTTTCTACATTAGTTGCAGGTAATCAGGAGCTATCGTAGTCAAAATAAACAGTAAATAATGCTTTTACTTTTTTATTGATTAATCTCCCTAAAGATTACTTTCCATTAATATTTTCCCTTCGTTGATTTCATTTGGTATTATACTTACTTTTAAACCTTTCTTAATGGCAACAGTCAGTGCAAAACCGCCAGGAGACTGAGTGTATTTCAATCTACAATAGGAAGGGTTTTTTGGCACTTCAGAGAAACAGGGTTTCACACTAGAAGGGTCGACCTATGTTTACAGACGAGAGAGACAATAGATTCCTTCATCATCAGGTTCTATGAAACCACAGCATTATGAGAAATGAGATCAAATATCTGATAAGACAAGTTCGAATGTTTCTATTTCCTCCAGAACAAGAAGAAGGCTCAATGAAAATAATCTCACGGGCATGGCACCTGGCTTGTGGACTTCTTACCACAGCTTAGAAATTGGCCAGGTTTCAGTTAGGAAGGGGAACATGTGAATTGAACATTGGAAGATTGCGGATGAGTTCTCTTTACAGATAAGGTGAGATTGGCCTCAAATCTTCAGATGGGCGTAATTTCATAATGAGATGCTCGTGAGAAAGCTTCGCCCCATACCGTATGGTACTTCAGGTGACAGAGGTACAAGACATTACCGAAGAACATATAGTGCCATTTGCCCCCCACATCGATTTTGTTAATGCCAGGCCCCTTGGAGCACATATTGTGGATGACTACCTGTATAAGGTTGGAATGAGTGTTTGGTTTGGCCAGCCCGAGGTCCAGATTTGGACCCAATCGAACACATTTGGGGCAAACTTAAGCAACAGGTACGAAGATGAAACCCAGTCCTAACACCCTAGAAGAGTTGGAAAAGGTTGTTCTTGATGAATAGGAAAGACCCTCAGGATTTTACCAGCAATATTTTCAAGGGAATGCAAAGGCGTTTCCACGCCCGAATCTGGCACTAACGGTCACTGCGTTGGTGATCATGATGTACACAGTTATAGTCCCAGAGCGGCGGTGCGGATAATCCTGGTGTGGTAACTACAGTGAGGACATGATTGTTGCCAGAGATGGAAATAGTCGGTATTAAAGGGGACAAAAACGTTCTTATTTGTTTTTGAATTTTCTGATTTTTTTATTCTCTACTCAATGATTTTTTCCTTACATTAGGTAGAAAATGTTTATTTTCTTGTTAAATGTCTTATTTTTACAACCAAACCTATTTTTGGTATGCAAAATAAGAATAAACCTAAATACATTAAAATAAATTAAAGGGGTGTGGGTTTATTTTGTCCATATGCTTCTGCTAGTCAAGCTAATAAAGTGTTGGCTTAAAAAAAATCTTGTTGCGATTAAATTGCTTATGGTTTGATATATGATAACATAACTTAAAAAACCTTAATGGTGTTAAAATTGGCCAGTAGCTATTTAGCAAATCAGTACATTATTTTATATTGAGAATTATATCTAATGCCACATTAAACGTGATTATCTCTAATGCCCAGTTTACTGGCTACAACTTGCTGAAACCATAAATCAGACTTATGTACTTGTATCAAGTAGGAAATAACTTGTAAACAGCAAAATGTATGTTTTTTCGAATCAGAATGAAATGTAAGAATAGATCCAAAAGTTTGAACCGAGGGGATTCAATTTCTGAAAATCGGCCCTACATGATGTAGCGTGTAAACAGAGCTACGATCTGTCTTTTGTTTGTATAATATCTTTTATTTGTTTGCATTTATTTTTTCAGTAATATTTATTACCATCTGTACATTATAATGTTATGTAATGCAGTAGTTAGTTAACCTTTGTTGCTCTCCAAACTTTATTCAATGTCTAGTCCCTGGCAAGGAGATCCTATGGGCTATCTCTGCTTTAGTTCTAGTTCAGATGGGATTATAGGTATGGTTTGCGCTGGACAGGATTGGTCTAAAGGGTTGGGGTGAGGAGAGTTGTCTTGGAACCTGGAAAATTTTGTGGGAATTAATATTTACAAAAAGATTTTGAGGTCCTGGAGGGTGGTGTTGGAGTCATAGGGAACATTTAAAATGTTACATTATATAATAATGCAGAAATAATCTGGGGGGGGGGTTAAAGTTTCGATTTCAAATTTCAAGAAAAATGTCGTTTTCTATTTTACAAAGGTGAAGCGGCCTCGACCAACTTTATAAAATAGAAAATTTATAATCCCATTGGCTGACTAACCCAAAAATGACCAGTTTTTAATAAAACAACTGTTTAGTGGAAAGAGATAAAAATGAAAAAAGACAGTAAAAGAATGTTTGCATTGTTGTCATAAAACTCTTAATTTTGAGGTTTTATTTCTTTCTATGTGTATTAATAATAATAAAGTTTTTATTTGCTTTGTTTAGTGCACAAAGTACAATATATAATTTCAAAAATAATGTTATACATTATATAATGTTATATATATTATAACACCATTTTTTGTTTTAACAAAATTTATTATTAATTAAGGACAACTGCTTAATTGGCTCTGATTTGTCTCCTGTACACACTAAGCAATTCTGTGCCAACGAAACCAACAAACCTCTTTGTTGGCCGTGTATGCAGCTTAATATGATTATTCAAATCCCAACATGGTTCATGTCAATTAGATATTATTTTATTGATGCAGTTACATTTTTATATAAATTGTTATTTTTAATAATACAATAATTGTTTCTGAGTGGATCGAAGTCACGATAGCTCAAGTGATATAGCAGCGGTGTATTTAGCCGAAGGTCGTGGGTTCGAATCCCGCTTGTAGCGCTGACTTTTTTATCTCAACCAATACCTTACTTAAATGTGTGGTGATTAGTGACCATTAATCGATAATTATTCAGAAATCGTGAGATGCGGTCTGGACCAGAGGACCGCATCTCATGATTTCTGGATAACCTTACTTAAGGATTAATTAATTGAAAAGAATTTATTTGGTCAATCGGACCACGAATCCTAATCGATTTAATAAGCAAATGAAGTATTCTTCACTAAAGCTCTCTGTGGCCATTTCATTTGTCACCGAGAATAAAATGGATGGAAAATTCAAAAGGTGGGGTTGAGGTGGGAAGTTTGTGTCCGAGTAGATCGAAGTCACGATAGCTCAAGTGGTAGAGCAGCGAAGGTTGTGGATTCGAATCCCGTTTGTGACGCTGACTTTTTTATCTCAGCCAATATCTTACTTGAAGATTAATTAAAAAGAATCTATTTGGTCAATTGGACCATGAAACCTAATCGATTGTACTATACAGTAAAAGAGAGCAGCTATAGCAGTGGATGTATCTCTTTTCTCTGGTCTGATCTCAACTTGATTTAACTGTGATGATCAATATTGCCATGTTATCCTTTTTACCAAACCAAAAATAAATCCCTTTGCTTTAATATTTTCAATTTAAGAAAGATGTCCTGCTTGTAATAATTAATTGTTTTGGGAGGATGTGACTATCCTGATTTGTTTATATAATAAAAAACATTTTTAAACTAATTAAGTCAGAGTTCTCATCTTGAATCGGCACAGAGCCAGTAGAGTTCAGTCAACAAGAGTTCACCGACTCGCAGACCAAAACCCATCTTCAACTGTAGTCAGTGTTTCTCTAAACTTCAACGATTCCATATACATTTTTAAAAAAGGTTATACAAAAAATATTTTAAAAAGTCAAAAATATACAAGTTACCCGTAATTTAAAAAAGAAAAGAAAACTTATTTGCTTTGTCTGCCTATACTCAATGGTTTTGACTGTTGTCCGATTGGAGATGATCAATCTGCATATTTATCCTGTCATCCCGCACAAAAAGTTTTCCTTGCAGTTCTTCAAAAGTAAGAAATAAATTATATAACCACTTAAGAGAAATAATTTCGTCTTCTGTCTGTAACACTCCATCTTCTATAGTCTTGCTATATGTTTCAATCAAAATTAGCATTATACAAGATGGCAACTTACCGAAGCCAAAATCAAGTATGCCAGCCAACTGCACAAATGTTTGATAATGTACTTACCAATAAGGCCTCATTTCATTTCATTCATAAATCATCCTTTCTTGCTAAAGTCGTAAAAAACAATTGATGGCTTGAAAGGTGTTTTGTTGATATGTTTTTGAATGATCTGCTCATCTGAAGCACTGGCTTGTTGTCTCAAGACACATTTCAGCATTTCACCATCTTCAGTGGTGTGAGTTGTGTCCTTTTATAGATGGTGACAGTGGTCACTTTTAACTGACAAACCAAGGTGGGATTGGCCAATCAGAAGATGATCGGAAACAAAATGCTCATTAATAATGAAATAAAATTATCTTTATATTTTCCATTTTAAGGAAATAAACCTTATCAGTAAAATTAGTTTTAGCATATTTATTCTTGTTGCAGAAAAATGGATCCTCAACTAGAAGAATCGCTTTCTCCGGAAAAGGTAACTTTTATTTATTTTTTATTTTTTTATTGTTTACATCAATACATTTTCATTGTAATTATTGTGATGCATTATTTTTGTTATAATGTATTGAATTTTCAGATTGCAGTTAAAAATGAAGATTCAAGAGAATCTTCACATATCGAAACTCAAGATGAAAAATTGCAGGTAAGTTTAATTTTTGTAACAGTAAAGCTTGTTTGTTGAATCATCAGCTTGACTTGTTATTATTATTTATTTATATTTTTTAATTAATTAATCAATTTTTTAAGAATATAACTGATGTTCAAGAAGAAACTCAGAAAGAGAAACAACAGTCAGACTATTCTTTTGGAAGTTTACGACTGTCACTGCCAGCAAATACGAGTAGTGAAACGCTGCAAGAAGTTTCTAAAGGGGTACCTGCTCATATTGATATTTATGTATTTATTGACCAATAAAAAATTTCATGTTTTTCTGTCCAGATATCAGAATTTACAGATATAAGCTTCCAGTTCTCTTTGGGAGAAACAACACTTGTGTGTATTAACATTAAAATTTTCTATAAACATTTATAACTATTTTTAAATGTATTTTATTTTTTTAGAATTGTCAATCACAAAAAAATTCTATTACAAGCAATCCATGTGAAGAAACATTGATTAAAACAATTGGATGTGTATGTGTGATGTGGCTTATTGCTACCTAATGCTTAATTATAATTAATTAAATTAGACAATTTATTCGTTTTAGGAATCCAAATCTTCAGAGAACAGTTTACGATTTTCACTTGGAATAGAAGATGTGAGTAATGCTGTAATCAATTTGTTTTCTTTTTTATTAATTATTTTAGTGCATTTTCTAATATAATATATTTTAGAATACCTTACTTCGAACTCGAGATTCCTTCCCTGATGAATCCCATATTAATGAAAATGTATGTAGTACACCGTAATAAATCTGTGTTATTGTTGTTTGCCAAATTGTCAAGTTACTATTTGTTTTATTTTATTTGTTTTGTTTTATTTTATAAGAATTCTGAGGAAGAAAAAATAATTAGTGAAATCAAAGAGGTAAGTTTTATTATATTATTACTTATATTACATTAAATAATGTAAAATAATTTTAGGGTGAAGAAAATGGTGGAAAGTGTCATCAATTGCCTCAAGAAATGCTCACAACTTTAGTATGTACTTTAATAGTAGTAATTTTTAACTCAAAATTTAACTTTTTTTTATATTTTTTATTTTAAGAGTACCATGCCGGATGAAGATTTAAAAATTAGTGATAATCCTGTTGAAATGCAAGGAAATGAAATGGCAAGTTAAAAAATTACTGCTAAAAAAAAAAAGTAGATAAGTCAATAGAAGAAAAGTCAATTTGTATATTTAACATAATCACTGATGAAAGGTTTTTCTATCCAAAGGGGAGGGGGGGCAAAATGTCTATGTGATTAGTCACACTGCACACTCGTCTAATTTAACTATTAACAAGCCAACATTTCTTCGTATCTTATATGTTTTTTACACCAGACTCACTCTTTCAGCAGTATGATCTTAGGGTCTTATCTTTATTTTGTCATATCTAAACCTGGTTATCCATGATCTCCCCAACTGCCAAAGCAGAGCAGTGTTGCTTGAAAAACCCACATCAATGACAATTCTGAAATCTAATAAACCTGACATCTTCATTAGACCAGTACACTTTTTTAAAGGTCAGCCTCTGTATACAAACTATCAAAACTTGTTGCAGCCATTCTAAAATCTGACTCAAAATTAAAAAACATTCTGTACCAAGAATTGAAAAACCCAAATAATTATGGGTGCAGTTATTTTTATTTATTTATTTTTTAAACAAGCAGAACAGCAGCGTAACACAGCTCATTCACTGAATGGAGTTACTGGCTGTGAAATAATGTGCGAATGCTCTCTCCAATTTCAGACTCAGTGAAGATCCATTTGGAGCGATTACACATGAAAGATGTACCATGCAAGTATTGAGATGCTTTCATATTGAAGCTACAGCAAATTAGCTCAGCAATCAGTCGATTTCAGAGGAGTTTTTATCTTGTCAGAGGTTCAACAATCCTTATTTATTGATACAATTTTGTTCTTCTTATTTTTTTTCTTACAATTTTGTCTTAATCCTCAGAAGGGTTGATTCTATAGAAAATAAGTAGAGAAATATGTTTTTTTTTTTGTTTTTTTTTTTTTCATTTACCTTGCTTATTTTGAGATTTATGAGCTTAATTCTTTGAATTAAGGTCCCTTTTTCAGAAAATGAGTATAAATATAAAGGAAATTATATTTTTGTATTTATCTCACTTATTTTGTGGTGGCTTTTTTCTGTGGAGCAGATTAGATGAGTTATCACAAATAAAGACTGTGTGAAAAGAGACTAATTCTTGCACAAAGGTGGGTAAATGTGTAAAATATGTCTAAAGCAATTTTTTCTTTGGATTGTGTCTCCCGTACTTGTTTTGTGGATTATGAGCTTAATTATTGTTCCCATTGACTCAAGAGGATTGATTCTATAGGAAACTAGTATAAAACATACAAAGAGTGTTTATTTTGTTTTGTTTTGTCACTTGTTATGAGGTTTCTAAGCTAGATTTTAAAAAATGCCTTGTCAAATCCACTTGAAGTAGCAAGTTGAACTGTACCGTTTGGCTTATCATTTCATTTGTTGAAGCTATCAGTGCAAATACATACGTTTCAATATGTTGGTGATTTCCTCTCGACTCGGCTTTGGTGTGAAACTCCACAAAGTTCTTCCTGTCAATAACCAATTAGCAATTTTTATTGAATAGTTGAAAAATTCAGGCACAATTTTTTATTTGTGAACACTGTATCAAGGTATGGTTTTTAAGAAGAAGAAAACAAATTTAATTGCTTACACCAACTAAATACATTAGCAACTAAAGTTGCTTTCTTCTTCATTAAGACCATACTGTGGACACATCCAGAGTGTCCATAAGTGAAAAAGTCGTCAATACCTCTAATACTGAAAACGATTTTAAACTAAACTAAACTGACTGATAACAGTGTGTATTCGTGTGTGTGTGTGTGTGTGTGTGTGTTTTTCAGACTAATAAAGTTTCTTTGAGCTTTTGATTGAAATAACAAATTAGTTTTCATTTTATTTTTAGGCTGTTACCATAACAGAAGAAATGAGTGCCAGTTTAAATCCGAATCAATTAAAGATTAAGGTAATAAGCAAAGATATTTTACTTTAATTTTATTTTTCCAAGAGACTTAAAAACAACACAAATAATTTCAGAATGTAGAATCTGGAGAGACAAGTCGTCAGCTTGCACAAGGAGTGGAATCAGATACTCTGGTACATTTTTATATTTATTTTTTTAATTCAATTTTTTTCACATATTTTAATTTCTTTTTGTTGTGTTTTTAGAATGCTGAAGTTAAAAATGATTTAAACAATTCCTCTAATGAAACACAAACAAATGAAGCTGCAAATGTTAGTATTGAAAAATTCATTATAATTTTACCGTTTAATAATTGTGTTTGTATTTTAGGGTTTTGATTGTGCAGAAATTGGTTTTCAGGCACTAATTGAAAAAGACCGTGCTAACCACGTATGTGATTCATGTACCAATTAATTTTCAATAGATAATTAATTTTTTTAATGTATATATAGTGTGCAAAGGAAGAATTCAATTTAGTCTCTGAAAATGGTTTGGTTGAATCTACCATTGACAATAATGTAAGTATATATGAAATAAATATAGACATAATGTTTTATGTTGAATAAGAAATGTAATTAATTCTAATATCACATCACCTTAATACACCTCAAAATATATGTTGATGAAATATGCTTTATAAATTAAGCTGTGCTTCTTTATTTCAGCTTCAGCTATCTGAAGTAGTGGGTTTAGATCAAAGTAGGGCAAATTTAGCAACCAGTGAAACTAAGCCAGAGGATGTTCTTGAGGTAGCATTCAATTTTGTTTATTATATATTATATATTAAATAATTCAGTTAGCAAATTCAATTTTGTTGACTTTTTAAACATTTTTTTTCTTTTTTTAATTTCAGCCTCAGCCATCAGACATCTTGGATTTAGACCAAAGTATGGGAGATTTAACAATTGGTGAAACTAAAGCTGAAGATATTCTTGAGGTAACTTTTAATAGACACTTTCCAGTCTATTCCATTTTACTTTTAAAATCTGTTATTTATTGTTAATAAATAACATCTTTCTAATCGCATTATGAATAATCTAAATGCTGATTTTTTATTATTTTTTTTATTTCAGCCTCAGCAAATAGAAGTCTTTGATTTAGATCAAAGTATGGTAGATTTAACAATTGGTGAAACTAAATCTGATGGTGTTGTTCTTGAGGTAACTTTGCATTTTTCTATGTCTATTCAATTATTTTTAGTTTTAAAATCGTTAATAAATAATTGCTTTTGAACTTCATTATGTATCAAAATTAGATATACTTAATGCTGAGCTTTTTTTTTTTAATTTCAGCCTCAGCGAATAGAAGTCTTTGATTTAGATCAAAGTATGGGAGATTTAACAATCGGTGAAACTAAAACTGAAGATGTTCTTGAGGTAACATAGCATTTTTCCATATCTATTCAAATATTTTTGAAAGTTTTGTTAATAAATAACATGCTTTCTAACTTGATTATGTATCAAAATTAGGTATACTTCTACTTAATACTAAGCTTTTTTCTAAATTTCAGCCTCAGCGACTAGAAGTTTTGGAATTAGAACAAAGTATGGGAACAATCGGTGAAACTAAATCTGAAGTTGTCCTTGAGGTAATATTCATTTTTCAATATTTGCAATTTTATGATTGATTTCTTTGAAAGTGTTAGCCATATCAAAGTTCTAATTAACACAAGGTTTTTAATGGCCAAAAACATTTTAGACGATTTCAAAATTTGTAAATTTTTGTATCTTAACCCTTCAGCACCTTAAAATTTATAACAATTTTGTAAAAAGCTCACAAGATTAAAGAAAAAATCTTCTTATCGAAGAAAATTAATAAAAATGAATGACATTTCTTCAAAAACTATAAAAATAAATTGATGAATTATATGCTAATTCTGTTTTAAAATAGATACAAGACAATTATAAAATTTTAGTGTTTACATAACAGAAAAAGTAAAGTAATTCCTGTTACACAGGAGGTGTTAACATTGATGAAAGGTCAAACCCCTTTAATGTACTTTATCCATATTCAAAATTAAAATGCATGGACTACCACATGAAAGCCATTGTCAAAAGTATAGGCATTGGAGGGTTAAATTTAAAATAGACAGATTTTGATGTAATTGTTTACTGATTGATTAAACGTTTTGTGGTTAAAACAAGTGTAAAATACTCTATTGATTTTGTTTTCTTATTTGTCTTCAGGGTGATAGTACGGGAAGAAGTCCTCTTAAAAATGATTTGATTGTAACAGAACAAGAGGTTAATTTTTAGTAACATCACCAAGTAAAATATTTATGTAAAAATTTTCTTTTTAGGTACAAACATCTAATGCAAATTCTGAACTGCCAGTGGACAGTCTTGAACATTCTAAAAGTACATCTGACTTCATGAAGGAGGTTAAAGTATGACTTTTTTCCACTTCTGTTTTAGTTTTATATTTTTGTATAAGTATATTTTACATAATGTTATAACTTCAGATACAAGAACTTAATGAAAGTTTGCACAACTCGGTTACTGCAGAAAATAAAGACGAGTTGCCAAAGGATGCTAGCAATTTGACAGGGGTTAGTTTAACTACCTAACAATCATTTTATTTTTATAGATCTAAAACTCATTTTCCAATTCTTGTTTTTTAATCAATCAAATTTTAGGTCTCTGTTGATGACAGTTTGCATTTATCATTGTTAGAGGCAAACACTTCTTCTAAGAGTATTCATTTGTTGGAAGATAATGATATTCAGGTATATAGGCAGTTTGTACACATTTAGGATGTTATTTTTAAAAAAATATCTTTATATTTCAGCTTCATGAACCTCTCTGTAAAAAGTTAAAATTAGATGATCTTGAAACTTTTGAGGATGTAGACAATTTGGAATCTGAATATAATCAGGTTTGTCTTTCAAATTTCACTGATAATAATGCATCTCTTTATGTCTAATTTTTTATTTTAGGAATCGATGGATTGTAGTATGCGTGTTTATTGCGAGGAAACTGATGAAAAGGTTGATATGAATGAATCTCCCAAATTGAAGATAGAAGAAAGTAATGAAAAATTGGTTGAACCACCTGCCGAAGAAAAATTGAATAAAGTATGATTTTTTAAATGTTTTTATATTTTCTGTTATGCTTTGCATTTTTAATTTTCTAGAGTGGTAAATTATCAGTGGATGGTTCGAGCGATTCATCTTTCAGGCAGAACAATCATGAAAAATGCGCATTACTGGTTTGTATTAATTGAAAATTGTTGCAATCCTATTTGAACTAATCAGTATGATTTTAGCCCCAGAATATCAATGAACAACACACCTTGATAAAATCAGATACAAACGGATCAAATGTTTATTCACCAACACAAAAGAGCAAGGTTTGAAGAAAACATTAAACTATTTAGTTCATAACTCATACTCATAATTTTTACTTGTTATTTCAGTTTAATGATTCGAATTCGCAAGATTTATACCAAAACAAAGAGAATTTACCACCCAGGGAAACAGAAGCCATTACAAATAAGGTTTTTATAACTTTTTTAATTTGGAACGCATCTTTTTCATATTTTAAAAGCTTATAAATGTTAAAAACCTGTAGAAAATTTTGTACTGTCAGCAAGTGTTTTTAAAAAGCTGATCAGTACATAGAAAATTGGTTGCTTTATTAACAGTACAATTAGGAACCATAAAAGTGTTTCAATGTATACACTTTTTGAATTTCAGGAGCTGATGGATGAATCACTACATCATTCCATTTTGGAATTATCAAAAAATGAACACAAAAATATTGAGCATTCAACTGAAATAATAAAATCTGAGGTAAAAATATTTAATTTTTTTTAAATAATGATGATATTTGTTTCTTTACATTGTCTTTCAATTTAAAAAAACATTAATTACAGAATGCTGATATCTCATTGAATCTGTCCATTTTGGAGAAGAGTACAAATAAATCGTTTAACCACGAAGTTTTAGAAAGTATTATGAATAAATCAATGATAAACCAACAATCGACAGAGAAAGATTACAAAGTAACTTTTTTTCTTTTTTTTAACAAGGCATATTGTTATTTATTCTCTTATTTGTATATTTGTACTTTATTAACAGATCCTGGAAGAATCATCACTGTGTTACTCGGTTTTGGAAGACATTAAGAATGAATCCATGAAAGTTGGTCAATCGCCTGAAAAAACATTAGAGGTATGGTGGTCCCCCCCCCCTTAATGAATTACTTTGGTAATGATTGATAACCTTTGAGCTGCCTCGCCTTCCGTTAAAACACAATATTCCTGTTGGTTATTTAGATTTTGATAGTTATATTGTTAACAAAATTTATAGGAAACAAATGTTACGCATAAAAAAAGTTTGCATTCTTTCACAAAATTAGAAAAAATCAACCATTAATTTAAAAAATTAACTGTATATAAATTATTACAATTTCAACAAATTAGGAAAACTAACGATAAATTGAACTTCTTACTTCCGGATAGGTAATCATTAAAATGAAAAATGTATTAAATTAAATGTTTAAAAAAAACTAATATGACATGTTGGACAGGGTAGTTTTGTACCCCAATGATGTTTCTGTCTCACTCTTTCTCTCTTTGAGACTTGATTATGCACTAACACTCAACGGATGGCAACCTGTTCGTTCTTACCTTACAGGTTAGCTTAAAATAAGAACTGGGTAGAGGGGTCAGTTTAAGAAGAAAAAAAAAGCTCTTGGATACAAAACTACTCCAGTGCGAACATTTGAAGGTTAAGAAGATTTGTTTTTTTACTCTAGCATCAGCTAGATGTTTCCTCTGAAATTTGGACAATACTGGATTATAATTATTAATTACTGAGACAAATATTAAACTACATTAATTTTTTCCCTTATATTACTGACATTTTTCAGCCTGAATATTCTGTAGAAACACCGCTTAAAGCAGGTAAAGCAGAAACGAGCATGGATGGATTTATAAAAGACAAACATTTGGCAGAAAATAAATCTGAAGTAAGTTTCTTTCATTTTTAACTATGTTGTAAATAAATGTCGTTTTTATAAATTTAACTATGCATATATTTTTCGTCAGTTATTGGAAGATTCCTCGTTCCATTATTCACTTCTGGAAAGTGATAAGGGATTTGTTGATACTAAGAAAGCAGGAGAATTAAATGTTTTGGTGAGTTTTTAATTGTTATCTGCTATATTGCTTGTAATATTAATATATATTTAATTATTTATATTCAGCCTAAAGCATTGGAGGAAATAGATCGTTCAGTTTTAGAAACAAGTTTGGCTGAATCAATGAAAGTTCAACAATTGGCTGAAAAATCTGAAGTTCGTTTCATTTTTACCACGATAAATATTAATTGTATGATGTTTCCAATGACAACTTTTCTTTTGTTTTTCTTTTTCTTAGCTTTTAGATGATTCCTCATTGCATTACTCACTTCTTGAAAGAAATAAGGATGTCTCTATGGATGCTAAAAAGGCCGATGAGTTATATGTCTCGGTAAATTTTTTTAACTGATTTTGTATAACAAAATAAAAGTACATAAAATAATAAATTTTTATTAATTTAGCAAAACATATTGGAGGAAACATCATTTAATAGTCCAGTTTTAGAAATCAACGAATCCATGAAAGTTGAACAATTAGAAGAAAAATCAGAGGTTTATTATTATATAATATTTGTATTCATTTATTCTCATTTTTAATATGATTTTGTCCTACTATCAGCAATTAGATGAATCCTCATTGCATCACTCAGCTTCAGAAACAAATAATGAAGATTTTGAAGAGACTGAAATGGTTGCTGAATTAAATACTTTGGTGAGCTTTGGATCAAAGTACTGAATAAAGTATAGCATCTTTATTTTATTGTAATTTATTTTTGTAATATTTTAGCAACAGGAAATGTCATTTAATTATCCAGCGTTAGAAATTAATGAATCCATGAAAGTACAAGATTTGTCAAAAGAAAAACTAGAGGTCTATTTATATATAAGTTTGATTTGTTTTTTGTTTTTTTATTAACCTTTATTATATTATTAGATATTTGAGCCCTCAATCATTGGGAACGAGGACACATTAGAGAATCCACTTTTGGAAAGGACCAATGTAGCATCATTAGATGTTCAACAATTGGCAGAAAGCAATTCAAAGGTAATGTTTGTTTTTTGTTTTTATAACTGTATCAGTTGTTTTTATTCATTTCTTGTTAGAATATTTTAACTTGAATTTTGGAATGAATTTCTATAATATTGCTCAGTTTTGGAAAATACTAACAAAAACTGAGGTTAGTTTTGCTTTTAAATATCCATACTATAATTTTGGCCTTATCGGCCATTACAGAAATATTCTCATTCTAGCCACAAGTAGAACTGGTGTTACTTAGTTTTGGTAAAAATTAAAATTTAAAAGCAAACCGCTGAACAATTTGTCTAAATTAAATTAATTTTGTACAATTATTTAATAATTGTGGCATATTTCATCATTTTATTTGAATTTTCAGCCTTTGGAGGATATATCTTTGCCAAACTCCATCGAGGAGAAGGCTAATAATGGCCACATGGAAGTACAGCAATTAACAGAAAAAAAGTCTGAGGTTAGTTTTTTAATTTTTATTTAGACTTGTAATTATATAACATATCATCATGATATTATTTTGATTTTAGCATTTCCCATTTGAAGAATCTTCATTGCATTACTCAACTTTGGAAAGTGCTGCATCTTCCACTAAGGAAAATTCTGTAAATGTCAACATTTAACATTATTTGTTTAATTATTTTAAACTAAAATATGTCCATTTCAGCAGAAGCTTTTGGATGGATCATCATTGCACTGCTCAGTTTTAGAAAGAACTAAAAATGAATCTGTTAATATTGAACCTGTAACAGATTCTGAGGTGAGTTCTCTATTTATCCTTAGATCTTTATGCGATATTATTGTTGAATCTTTCGTTTCAGAAAATAATATTGGATTTCTCTATCGTCGACAGAACTAAGAAAGAACCTGTGGAGGTTCATCATTTGACAACAAAAAATATTGAGGTCTGTTCATTTTTTCCTTCATAAATTATATTTTATTTTATTATGGATGTTTTCATTCTAGCTCTTATTTGATGAATCAACATTAACAGAGGTTGAAAAGTTAATTGAATTTCAAGAGGTGAGTTTTCCAAGTTATCATAAATATTTGCAGCATTTCAATATTCACTGTTTTAATTTAGCAAGGAGTCAAAGATGAAATGTCATTGGATCTTTCTGTCATTGATAAAACTAAGAGTGAACCTATGGACATTCAACAAACAACAGAGATAAATTCTGAGGTATGTTCTCTTGTTTGATCCAATAAAAATAATTGTGTTGTATTAATTTTACATGGGATATTTTAATAGGTGTTCAATGAATCCTCATTGCATTACTCTGTACTGGAAAATATGAAAAACAAGCCAACAAATATTGATTCTCAGGTGCGTTAGACCCAGCTAATTTTGTTTCCTTTTTTTAACTGATCAAAAATTTCATTGCTGAATATTTCAGGATCAGAATTTGGAAGAAACTCCATTGGATCTTTCTACCATGGATAAGGCTAAGATTGAAAATATGGAGAATATAAAATCAGACGTTAGTTATTCTTACATCTTAACCAAGATAGTTATAGATAGATTTATTTTATTTATTTATTTTTTAAATTTCAAAATTATTGTGGAAATATTTGTTTTAGCGACAGCTATTGGATGAATCATCATTGCATTATTCAATGATTGAGCAGTCGGGTGAGAAAAAAATTGAGGTAAATTTTCTTAACTACACGATAATCATTGTTAAACATTACTTATTTGATTTTTCATTTATTCACCAATTTAGAAAAAGCTATTGGATGAATCATTGCATTGTTCAGTTTTTGAAAGAAGTCAAAACGAAACAAATGCTGAACTATTGACAGAATCTGTTCCTGAGGTAAATTTAATAAATTATTCTGTTATTTTTTTGTTTCTAATTAAATGTTTGAATTTTATCAGAAAATCGAGGACACAACATTGGATTTCTCCATCATCAGTATGACTAAGAATGAGGCAATAATGTATGACTATCAACCGTCATCAACAAAGAAATCCATAGTATGTTAATTTTTTTTTTTATCCTGAAATTATTTTTATTCCGCTTTTTGTTTTTTTAGCATAGTACATTAGATGAATCTTCATTGCATTACACAGTGTTGGAAAGAACTAAAAACGAATCCATAACTGAACTATTGGCAGAATTGAATGAGGTTAGTTCCATACAATTTTTGTGTCAACTCATTTTTATGCCATTTATTATTATATTAGGGTCAAAATATAGAAGAAACAACATTGGACCTCTCTGTTGTGGATAGAACAAAACATGAACCCACGGATATTCAACAGACAGAAAAAAAATCAGAGGTAATATTTGTTTTACATTTTTATTTGTTTAAAATGTTATTGTGGAATTATTTTTAATTTTAGACACTAGACGATTCATTACATTACTCAGTTTTGGAAAGTACCAAGAATGAATCTATGATCATTGATCATTCGAATGAATTTGAGGTAAGTTGTTGCGATGGTCGCTTCTTGGTATATATAAATTTAATTCTAATAATTTCATATTCTTCAACATTTACTTTTGAAAGGAAATTGTTTTATTAGAATATATTTATAATCCTTTTTTTTTGTCTTTTGGATTTTCAGAAACTCAATCAGTCATTTGAACTCAATCTAGAAAAGTCTGGTGTAAAAAAAAAGAAAAAGGTTAGTTTTTGAAATTTTTTATAAACATTCTTTATGTGTAACATAAAGGATAATTTCTCATTTGGTTGTCGAAATTAGTTTAAAAATTATTACTCTTCTTGGATTGTTGCCTGCGTTGATTCTTGCAACGTTGTTACTTACAGTTCATCAATCTGTAGTATCAAGCTATTAGAACAGTAATTATCGGTTTACATTTTGTCTTCGATCAAAAGTTTTCATTACAAAAGAGAAAAGTAAGTCATCCCTATAGTTGACATGAATTCACATTTAAAAGAATCAGATCAAAATGTAAGTTTAACTTTTCGTAAATTACACTACTTTTTATGATTTTACTTTTATCACATGTTTCACTTATAATTTAAATTTATATCATTCACATTTTTTATTGCATATTCACATATTTCAAACATTTAGACCAGCTCTGATTTCTTATCTTAAAGTAATGATCAATGACTTCAGGTCATTTATAGTATCAGTTGAGGTATCTAGCAGTCTGATTGAATATAATAGATAAAACAAGTTAAAATAAGTATAGGGTGGTGTTCCAAGTTCCTTGCGACTCCTTTTATATCAATAAGAGAATTAACCGTACCACAAATGTTTAACCAACTTTAAATTTGAGCAAGAAATTTATAATTTGGTCGTCCGATCATTTTTGCCTATGATCATAAACTGCCTTTTTCACAAACATTCCAGAATAATAATTTAAGGCCTTTTTGTAAAAAAGAGTTCTTATTCACATTAAGTTGTTTTCCAACGATCCGGATTTCGAGCCCTTATCTCATTGTCAGGTTGAAGGATTTCTACAACCATATCTCTCGATTGCAAAAGTGAACCCGCCGATACTCCCGTCAACGCCAACGCCGTCGCTCCACTGAGAAGCTGGTTTTTTAATGGTGCTCAATTTGAACGTGTGAAAAGCGGGAATTAAAATACAAGTAAATACTGTAGGAAATTAATTATAAATTAGTGATTAAAGATAAAAGATAAAAAATTAGAATAATACCTTAATATTATTAAATTATTATAAAAATAATAATGATTAAAATAATTAATTTAATTATTTGTACGTTTAATATTATTTATGTACATATTTAAAATGGGAGGTGATGATCAAAATTATTATATTACTAATGCATTTATCTCCATGTTCAATTTTACATTTTTTAAATTCAAATTTCCCAAACCAATCTAGTTCTCTCCCTTTGTTGAAACTATGTAACACTATTGTATTTAAATTTGAATTGAAATTATGTTTTGTTTCTTTTAGATGGTCCTTAAATTCCAAAAATTTGTTCGATTTAAGCAAGTGTTCTTTTATTCTCATTTTTATTTCTCTACCGCTTTGCCCTATATATTCACAATCATTACAATTGAGTTGGTAAACCCTGCCTTTTGCTAAGTTTTCTACCTTGTCTTTAGGTTTTGAGAGGATGTTTTTAAGTGAACCCATACTTCTAAAAGCGATTCTAAAACCTCGTTTAAAATCTTACTAACTTTTCCCGATAATTCACCAATGTATGATAAACAACGGAAACCTAATGATTCATTTATGGTGGGGTGGCTGAGACCTGTTGTTGATTCTTTTAAAGTTAATTTTTTTATTCTTTTAACTAGCAACCTATCAATAAATATTTCTAGATACCCATTGTTTTTGCTAAGTTTTTAATAGTTTCTAATTCTTTTTTATAGTTAGCAGGTGTTAATGGAAGTTTTAACATATGGTCTATGAGCCAAATGAAACCATAAGCCTTTTGGGACCGTGGGTGGGAAGAATCCGCTGGAATCATAGTGTCTGTAGTTGTGGGGTTTCTATATATGTCTATTTCTATTAGGTTGTTTATTATGGGCAATTTTAGGTCTAAAAAGTTCAAACAACCATCTTTGTTAATTTCCAATGTAAAATTTATATTACGATGTAGAGAATTAATTAGTTTTAATATTTCCTGTGTTATAATTCCCACTTTTTGCATGTTCAAATTGAGCGCCATTATAAAACCAGCTTCTCATTGGAACGTTGCGTTGGCAGGGGGATCAGCGGGTTCACTTTTACAATTCATGTTGAGAGATGTGGAACATAGAATCCTTCAACCTGACGATTAGCTAAGGGCTTGAAATCCGGATCATTGGAAAACAACTTAATGTAAGAACTATCTTTTTAAAAAAGGATTGAACACCGCACTCACTCCATCATTCACCATTTCTATGATTTAAGGCTTCCTCATGTTCCAGAACAACACAAGTCTCCTTTAGTTAAAAAAGACCTACAAGCTTTAAATTATAGTTTAAAAGTTGATTATATGGGTTGTTTAGTCGCTACGTACGTTATGTTTTGTTTTTAAGTAATCATCACCAATTAAGGGTTGTTCTTTTAGAAGATAGGAGACAGTAAAGCAGAATATTTTTGGCTACCTCATATACTGGAGTCATTCCAGAACGACACGTCTCCTTGTAGTTAAATAAGACCTACAAGCTTTACATTATTTTTAAAAAGTTGATTATATGGGTTGTTTAGTTGTTACGTATGTTATGTTTTGTTTTTAAGTAATCATCACCAATGAAAGTTTGTTCTTTTGGTAGATTGTAGAAAGAAAAGCAGAATATTTTTTTAAGCAGGAAAACACTAAAATGCACTTTTCAATCATGAAGCCATCATAGGCCTACCAAAAGATATTACTTCAGTATGACGCCTGCTTAACTCTGATGGGTTCCATTGTTGTTAATGTTCTCCACCATTAAGCAAGCTGCTTCTTCTTTTTCATCCTCAGGGTACGCTTATGTAGAAACAACCGTATCCTTTACCAGTGATTTTAAATTTTCTACCTTTCCTTGAGCCATCTGCTAAATTAGGAGAATGTATGATTGGCATTCCCCTTTGGCAAATCACCATATTGGCAAGCTAGACTCCCTACTTTGACTAATTGGAATCCTTGCCGCATTGAAAATTGTTTAAGGTAACCCCCTCCTCTCAAATTTCATGGCTTTTTTAATCTCCTTTGCTGTTTTTTTCAATGTGTACTTCTGCTTTCCTTTCATAAATTTGCTTTCTTTATGCTGCCATTAAGGCTTAGTACATATGGGGCATTGGATTGTGTGACTTGTGCCGAAAACATGGAGCGCTTGGAGAAGAGCAATTTTACAATGGAAATCAAAGAAGTCTTTTGTCTGTGGTAGTATTTTCTTTATTGCCACTGTAAACCATAACGACAAAAGAAGTATTAGGTCCATCCTATTTGAAGAGATAAATTCACAAATAGTATGTTTGTTACTCTACCCAAAATTAAGTGATTATGAACCAAAATTTTTTAAATTATTTTAGAATGTCAATTAATGCTTGGCAATTTTTTGCACTTGATTAAGGGCGATATTCATCAAGACCTCAGTGTGAGGGATTCCAACCCACCTGAAGAAAAATTCGTCATAAAACATTGATAATGTTGACATTGCAGAACAACTTTTAAAAATACATTGGAGAACAAGTTGAAGCAACAGACATTAGTTTAAAAATCTTCAGAACATTGGAATCATCGACTAACGGTCACTAATCACCACACAAAATACCCTTAATAAAATTACCCCTGTAACCACCACCGGGTTCAAGTACTGTGTGATAAGAGCTAACTATTTGGACGACTCCCCTTTTCAAGGCTGACACTAGCACGAATTTCTATACTTGTTGTTTTGAACTTCTTCACAACCATTTATAATTGAATGAGTGACAGACATGAGGAGCTTTCTTTTGCTGGTTTTAGATCCTCCTACGTTAGCTTTGTTGTAAGCCGGGATGCCTCACCTCCAGGTACTTCATGAATTCCTTTGCCTCGATTCCTGATCAGGAATACTATCTTCTTTTTTCCAGTCAAACTTAATTATAGCAGATCAAAATATTAGATTATTGTTTATATAACTCGGAATATGATGACTGATTAGATAAAAATTATTTAAATTAAAACCTCAACCAGTAATTTAATTTTTTGTTTGCTAGATTCAAATATAATTAAAGTTAGTCTTAAACCTAATACGAGCACACTTTTATGCACTTCTTTCATATTTTGACTACTGGCATGCCTTTCACCCATCTAACAAGTTAGCATGTTATTCCAATATAGCACAGTAAGAATGGGGGGGGGGGAATAGCGAGTTAGAAATGTTGGCCATTCCATTAGAGGAAAAGTACCAAACAAAGAATAATTGTGAAGTTTTTCATATCCGATCAATTTTAGTTGTCCTATCCTCACGGTTGTGATCTGACTGATGTGCTTCACCATCATCAGTGGGGAGCTAGGCTAATCTGCAGAAAAAAAAAAAATTGAAAATATACAATAATTTTGGATTTTCTTTTCTTCTATTTTTGTGATAAATTCACAAACAAATGTGCACTTGGGCTTAAGAAATAATTGTATGGATGCTACAAGATATTATGCCATAAGAAAAGTAGAAGAAAGTAAAGGAAAGTTATTCTTGTCATACAGAAAGGCTTAAAGTCAGACAGTTCTCTGTCACAGACGTGGGGTCAAACCATGTTACAATACATTTTTTATACAAATATAAATTAAAAATGCATGGGCTATGCTAAGATTTGAACCCAGGACCACTAGCATCACAATACAAGTTAGATGTCCTAACCACTCAACCACCCAGTCGCCATTATCCTGCTATAATATGTTTTATCTTTATGCTTTTTAGAAGTAAGACAAATCCAGGGGTTATGAATTGAATACACGGCTACATGGTCAATATTATTATTATTATTATTGTACACAAGGGTATTTCAACTATGAGGTTAGAGTGCTGGTGTTTTTGGAAAAAAGCCCACTTGTAAGTAAATGTCGAGTTCGAATGCAGGTCCACAGGATTTGAACCCAGGATCTTTACCTTACAGTGATGAGCACCGTATCAATGCCTAAACAGTTGTAGCCACTGACACCCCTTCATCCCATCTTTGTATTACATTTTTTTTTTTTTTTTTAACGCGTTTTGATGTTTCTTTTCTGGTTTAAAATTGTGATGAGGGGACCGCGGTAGCCGAGTGGTTAGCATGAGAGACTCTCACGCCGCGGTCGTGGGTTCGATTCCCACCGTTGCCCCTGGCCCTTTTTTCCCAATAACCCCCCAAATTTGAACACACATATACGAATTTGTCACATGGCTAATATGCATAGTTCATAACGCAAAAAAAAAAAAAAATTGTGATGAAAAAGTAAAAAAATTCGCCCTGGATATTTTTATGAACAAAAAATTAAACACTACTTATCTAAAGAGATATATGACTTAGTAAAATGATAACATATTTAAAAAAATAAATAAAATACAAAAAAAATTATAGAGGTCTTTCAGTGCCAAACTGTTTCAACTTCCAAAACAAATTATTTTCATGTTATACAACAGTGCAATTATCAATAGAAGTGCTTTACAATGTTGGAAAAACAATTTACAACAAACTACAGTAAAAATCGTTTATAAGAACATCCAAGGGATCGTCTGAACTTGGTTCTTAAGCCCGATAGTTGCCATATCTGGTAATCAATTTTTTTCTGTTTAATTATTGATCAATTTTTTGAAAGTTGAAGGCTCTTTCAGTCATTCCTCTGGAACTACTTTTAGGGGTTGAAATTAGCAATCCTATTTAGTAACAAGTTTGGAACTAAAAAGCGTTTGCGAATTTCAAGCCCTGTTTAATTATCATTGTTTAGGTTTTAAGATGAAAAACAAAAAGATTAATCACAAAAATTTTAACTGAAAAATATTCTGTATTTTTTTTTAATGAATGTAAAAAGCATTTTCTATAATGGTTTATAGAATTTCTTCTCTATAGAAGTTCTTTCACTGTCATTTTCATAGATTCCTCTGCAAAGTTGTCATTACATGTTAAAAATTTATTTACCACATGTATAGCTGAGAACATTTCCTTCAAAGTGGGGCACGAAAATTCGCTTGATTCATCTGTTATGGCATTGTCATCTTCTAAATCATTTTCTTCTGCTTTGACCCCTGCAACAATTTCTTCATCTGTGATGATTCCATGGGTTGTAAGACTCAAGTCTACGTCTTCATATCCTTGAAGAAAACTGTTTTCAATGGGCAAATCTTGAGCCCAGTTTTGAAGTGTTTATTTTCTGCTGTTATTTTCTCATGAAGTTTTTACAAAAGGTTTGTTTTCTCAGAAATTCAATAACTTTAGGTCACTAAAAGCGATATGTTCTTACTAACGATGTTCTTTAACCAGATATTTTATATATTAAGTTGCATTAAAGCTGGCTAGGAACTAGAAATTTCATTCTTATAATCGATATGTTTTTACATCCGGTGTTCATTTAAACGATTTTTACTGTACAAAATGAAAACCAACAGACATGGTTAACGCCTTAACCATTGCGGCTGTTATTCCAGAATACCGTGGCTTTTGAAAGAGACCGTAACAAAGCCTTTAGAGTGAAATAAAATGATAAAATTTAAAAAGACAGTGCACTGTCCTAGTCTTTTTAAACTAGCATCAATACACAATAATGTAAGTTATTGAAAAGAAGGATTTTTTTAAATTGCCAAGAATCCTAGAATTTAAAAAAAAGCCCCTTTTAAAAATATATTTCTTCATCACAATTCTATTAGGAAAAATAAGTGGGGAACTTGGGACCCCATATATATATTACTAAAAATTTTCCCAGACAATTTTTAGTAGGTTTGCTTACAAATTATCAGTTTAGGTTGTTTTTAAATATTAGTAAAAATTGTCTTAAGGGATTTTTTCGTAAATAGGTAACATCCACACCAGTGAAGGATTACAAGTTGCATAAGTCAAAAGAAGAGCAAAATAACCAAGCAAGTGTTTAAATTTGTAATTTAATTTTAATATTTAATACAATTCTAAACAGCATGTTTCCCTCGTATAGTTAAAGAGCAGAAATGTCTTAGGAATAAATATCACAGAGATGGAGCCATTGTTTGAAGTTTCTAATGAAAGCAACAGTGGTTAGTATCCAATAATTGAAATAAATAAATTAAAAAGAAAAAAAACTAATTCTTGCCCTAAATTTAGCTAATCCAGCTGAAAGGTGCACTACAGATTCAAAGCCACTTACCCCTAGGTAATAGAGCTAAAAATAATTGAAGTTAAGAATCTATTGGCATAATTATATTATTGTAGTAGTGAGAAATCGACTTGTGTGATGGAAACTCCTGCTGCTAAACTAAAAGATAAATTGAAAAAAACCGAGGAGTTGAAAAAGCACTTAGAGCAAGAACTTTTGGAATTAGCAGAATTTACAACTTACGAATTGCAGTGCATGAAAAGTGAAAAAATGGTCTGTACTTTTTTAAAACTGTATTATTAGGATTGATAATATTCTAACGAGAGCTTTGTATTTTAGGTGATGTCCGAAATTGAAATATTACAGTTGAAAATGAACACGTTAAATGATAATTATGAGAGGGTAGTAAATGAAAATGTAAGTAAACCTGCTTGGAAAAGTCTGTACAAATGGTTGTTTAATAATAAGAATCACATTTTAGAATAAAATTAAAAAAGAATGCCAATATTACAAAAATAAATACACTGATGAAGAGGTGAAGCGGGAATTAAATGAAAACAGATGGATTAAAAGAGAAGCAGAGCTGAAAAAGAGTCTTGATGTAAGGTTTAATATTTTGTTATTGCTAGTTTTTGTTTTATATGTTTGCCTGGTGGTGTTTGGCAATTGTTGGTTTGTGTTTATTATTGTGGATGATTGCATGAAATGACCAGTTTACAAAAAAAAATTCTTCTGTAACTAGCAGCCTTCTGTGTTAACGAGCAATTTCTAGTTTAGAAAGATGTATATTATTATTATAAACTTACATAAACAAGTAAATAAATAAAGTATAGGGGTTTAAAAAACAAAATATGTACTAGCTTTTACCCGTGACTTCTCCACACTGTTTTCATTTTTTTTTAACTTTTCTAATGCGTTGCAGAGTGTTAGTATGGCTTTCTAATATATGTCTCGTCTCTCAAATTCTTCTCTTCTTCACCTCACTTCAGTCTACACATGGTAAAAATTGTCCATGTGATCCCCTTAGGGATGGAATTTCAAAAATCCTTTCTTAGAGACTATCCTTGTAATTATAGGAATGCACTGTTGAAATTTCATCCTTTTAAATCCAGCAGTTTGGTTTGGGCGTTGTCTGTCAGTCATGGGACTGTTTTATATGTATTGGCAATTATTGATTTGCAATTAAAACCTTAAAAATAGCATAACTTATTGCTGCTCTGATTATGGCTCCATCCTTTCCGTAGTTTTAGAATCAGCCTAGAAATGAGGCCATTGCATGATATGATGAGCATTACTAACACCATCTGTGTTGGAAGAAGGGGCTATCCTTAATTGGCAGCAACACTCCTTACCTTTGCTAGTTCGCCGGAACATGTTCCTTCACGTTGACTCCCTGTCAGAATCAGGATGCGATGTGAAGAAATATAGATTAAATTAAACTAAATTAAATTAATATGATATACATACATTGGACGATAAAGTTAATTTAATTTACATAAGTTGAACAACAAAGTGACCTGGCGAGGGTCAATAGATTAAAGAGAATAGTGACAGACTTATTACAGAAAATTAATCAAACTATACAAAAAAAACTTGGTTTTAAATAATAGGGTACTCGTAAATTGTAACTTCGATTACAAATCGAGATAAAAAAAAGAATTAAACAAACGCGTTCGTCCACTCTCCAATACTAACTGACCAGCTGGACCCTGAGACCTTTTTTTTTGTTTTTCATCTCCATGGATATTTGAACAAATAAACAAAATTTAAAAAAAAAATTAATAAAATTCTCTCCGGCATAAACATACCGCCCACCAAATTTCAATAGAAATTTCACTAAGAGAAATGAGACTTGCAGAGTGGAAGAACAGGATTGGAAAGATTCAGGGTTCAGGGAGCAGAGGAGATAGACGTGTAACCGGACGCGTATATTCTCCTGAGGGCGTTTTTATGCGCACAACTCGTACCACCCCATCCTTATCGGGGTACTGCTCAATGATGCGTCCGACAGGCTATGATAAGGGATGTACTTGTGCGTCACGCATAACAACAAGCGTTCCAAGAGCCATGTTGTCGGTCTGCCGTTGCCATTTCGTACGTTGCTGTAGAGTGGTCAGATACTCCAGTCGCCATTTTTTCCAGATATCTGCCACACATTTTTGCAGGAATTACCATCGAGTCAGCATATGTGGCACGCGATCCGTCCAATCATATTGAGGCAATGATACTAGGGCGTCGCCGACTAAAAAATGTCCAGGTGTCAACATAGAATAATCGTCGGGATCGAATGACATCATGTAGAGAGGGTGTGAATTTAGAATTGCTTCAATCTTGATAGCCACGGTGCACAACTCTTCAAAAGTTAATGGTTGATGGTCCAAAACTTGAATGAGGTGATTTTTCTGTGACTTTACCACCGCCTCCCATAATCCTCCAAAGTGAGGGGCTGACGGCGGTATGAAGCTCCATTCGATGCTCCACTTCACCATCTGGGCGTCGATTTCTTGTCTCGTATTCTCAGAGGCCCACCAGATATAAAGTTCGGACAGCTCACGTTTAGCTCCGACGAAATTTTTTGCGTTGTCGGACATCATCTTGCTCGGGAGCCCTCTTCTAGCTCTTAAAGATAACTTTTTAAAACTTTTATTAAAATAATGTCTTAAAATTATCCAAATTTCCTGACTTAGGGAAGTTTTGTTTAAAATAATAATATTAATAATAGCCTAGTTTTATTTTAATACATTAATAAAGAATTGAAGAACAACTAATTGATTTTATATAGATTTTATATTTTGTGTACAAAATCATGCATGTTATTACAAGCCTGTATATATTTCAGAAATTGAAAAATAATAAAAATTAAATTATAAAATTTGTGTGAAAATCGGTGAAGTGATGAACCTGTAACTTGATTGTTCTTATTCTATCTAGTCTTTCATTTTTATTGTGGGTGTCAGTGGCTGCAACGGTTTAGGCATTAACATGGTGCTTATCACTGTAAGGTAAAGGTCCTGGGTTCAAATCCACCAGCACTGCATTCAAACCTGATATACTTACAAATTCCCCCCTCCAAAAACAATGGCACCCTGAGAGTTCATATTACCTCATATACCATATAGTTGAAATACCTTCGTAAAAAGAAGAAAAAAAGATTGGTTTTGTGTCTGCTGTTTTCTAGTCTGATCATGAATGATCTTCCGGTTATGCATTAAAACTTAAACCTATCTCATTCAAACTTATAATTTATATTTAATAATGTCCATGTGCACTTATTATTTATATTATTATTTTATAGGAAGCTTGGAATAGCCTATCCATAATGAAGACTGCAAATTCTTCTGAAATGAAGAACAGAGATGATGAAGTAAGTAAATCAAATCTAATGTTGGCCATAATTTGATTTGTTGTACAATTAGTGAACATTTATTGTATTGAGGTTGTCACTTTAGTTTTAAAAGATCCTAAAATTTGGCATGTAAATGATCTTTCCAGGTGGTAAATACAAACAGAACAATTCATTCATTAGAATCCGAAAATGAAGCTTTGAGAAAAATGAACAAGAGTTTTGAAGAGCAAATAATGAAAAAAGACGTTGATCTGAAACAATTATCTGACTCCCTTTTTTCCTCAAACAATCTAGTTTCGAGTAAAGATTTGGAGATTGAAAAGCTCAGACAAGAAATATCATATTACACCCAACAAAAACAAGAATTAATTACAAAAGATGTAACGATAAAAGAACTATCTGATTCAACATTATCTTTAAAATTACTTGTGGATGCTAAGGAACAAGAGATTGATAGTTTAAAAAAAGAAATATTGGAAGTTAAAGAAAAAGCTACAATTTCCTACGATGATATTGAAACACTAAAAGAAAATTTTCAAATACAATTGAAGAACAAAGATGATATTCTTACAGAAATAAACAACTCTTTAAGCTCGGCAAATAATGAAATTCAAAAGTTAAGGAATGACATTGATTGTTTGAATTCTGATTATACAGAACAGTTAAAACAAAAAGAAGCTGTTTTCCGAGAATTGTCAACTAATAAAAATTTTGAAATTGAATTACTCAAAAAGGAAATTGATGCCTACAACGTTCATAAAGTTGATAATTCTCAAGATTTAGATCGAAAAGACAATGTCATTAAGCAGTTGACGGATTCAGTAACAGATTTGACTGAAAAACTTGATTGCAAAAATTTGGAGATTCAAGAACTCCTAAATAATCTTGATTGCCATAAAGAGTTGATTGTAATTGCGGAAAAAGATCTGAGTACATTAAAAAAAGATTATGAGTTGCGTTTAGATGAAAATAGTGCTACTATAAAAGAGATGTCTGAGATTTTGAAACAGAAAGATGCTGACCTTGAAGAAACTGTTAATACCAACCGTTTAGAGATTCAAGAACTTCAAACTAGTCTTGAACATCATAAAGAAATGCTATTAAATCAAGAAAAAGAGCTGAGCACATTAAAAGAAGATTATGAGCTACGGTTAGATGAAAATAATGTTGCTCTTAAAGAGATGACGGAGATTTTGAAACAGAAAAATACTGACATCGAAGAAACAGTTAATACCAAAAATTTAGAGATTCAAGAACTTCAAACTAGTCTTGAACATCATAGAGAAATGCTATTAAATCAAGAAAAAGAGCTGAGTACATTAAAAGAAGATTATGAGCTACGGTTAGATGAAAATAATGTTGCTCTTAAAGAGATGTCTGAAATTTTGAAACAGAAAGATGCTGACTTCGAAGAAACAGTCAATACCAAAAATTTAGAGATTCAAAAACTTCAAACTAGTCTTGAACATTATAAAGAAATGCTATTAAATCAAGAAAAAGAGCTGAGCACATTAAAAGAAGATTCTGAGCTACGGTTAGATGAAAAGAATCTCTCTCTTAACGAAATTACAGAAACTTTAAAACAAAAGGATATTGAAATTGAAGAACTTCAGAAAGTTATATCCAATTATAATTCACTAGATGAAATGTACAAAGAACAATTGAACAAGAAAGACGTTGTTTGTAAGGATATGACAGAGTCAATATCATCTCTAACATCTGAAATAGAAAATAAAGAATTGAAGATTGAAGAATTGAGCAACGAAATTTTAAAACTGAATGAAATATATAATGCTAAAGTTGCAGAGGAATTAAACAATAAACACGAATCTCTCAAAGTATTATCTGATTCAAAGAAGTTGTTAGAAGAGAAAAATTTGGATATTGAATATCTTCAACAGCAGGTATCAGCATTCAAGGAACAACTTTTGCTCTCTGAAAAAAACAATGCGGAACTCCAAGACAACTTCATTGGACAATTGAATAAAAAGGATGAACTTTTGAATGACCTATCGGAATCTGTAGCCTCTGCAGAAAAGCTTGTAGAAAATAAAACTATGGAAATTATAGAACTCCAAAAAGAAATCAGTGTGCTGAAAGAGGATCATTTAAATCGATTAAATGAAAAAGAAAAAGATCTGAACAATATGAAAAGCTTAATATCTTCGCTGAGTAATCAGGTTGAAAATAAGGGTCTGGAAATTGAAGATCTCAAGGAAATGATAACAGTATTAAAAGAACAACTTGCACAAAATGACAAGAATCTTGAAACATTGAAACTCAAGTTTGCTCAGATGTCAGAAAGTAAAGATAACACAATTGAGGAATTATTGTCAAAATTAGACAGTCAAAATTGTTTGAAATGTTCCACATTCCGTCATCCCAACATACCAAATATTTCACCTCAGAAGAATAATTGGAATAATTTAACCCTTTGTTTATCAGTGTCTGAAAGTCCATTGAATTCCAATTTCCAGTCAGTGGGTAATAAAACACTAAGGTGTGGTTTATTAGAAGAGAGCATGCAGATGCCGAATCCTGTTCATGATTCTACGGCTCTTGATCCGTTTAAGTCTGTTGTCATGAACAATTCATTCTCTGAAAGTACAAATAAAGATAATGGAACTGATAGCAATGATTCCAATTATAGTACACCTTTGGCTTCAAGGATGAACGATGAAGAATACGGTATGAGTTCAGTAGTAGATACGAATCCAATTAAAAAGGCTTTATTTTACCAATTAACGGATGACACAAATTTAATTCAATACATTAAGAAAATTCAACTCGTACTGCAACAGATCGAAAAGAATGGCCCTAATGTCAATCAGTCTTCAGCAGATATGCATGAATTTGTCAAGGATATTTGTGATACGTATTTAATCGATGAAGTCAATTCTTATAAAGAGCAGTTAGAAACGTCCTTGGCAAAATTGGAACAGCTGATGGAATTAGAAAGTAACTGTCAAAAAATGTATCTAACTTTCAATGAAAATGGATTTGAGATCGACAGTAAATCCATAGCTGACACAGTCAAAAACTTAATAAACGAAAATCACTCTTTAAAACAACATTTAGAAATTGAAAAAAATTTACAAAATCAATATGTTGAAATCAGCAAAAAGTGCACTGAGGTTGAACAAGAGTTGGCAACATTCAAAGAAAGAGAGGCTCGTCTCCTGGCAGACAAAGCATCATTAGATCATTGTATAAGATTGATTTCTAAACTAAAAGACATAGTTTGCCCTGACTCAATGCAAAGTAATATTTTTGAGGCCAATGAAGCGCTTGACCATTTTGAGACCGTCATTACAGATATTGCTGAAATAAAACAAGCGCTGAAAGAAAATTCGGTCGAAAATCTCTCTAGTTTGATGAAAGAGCATAATGAAAAATATGCCGAACTTAAAGGGTCTTTCAGCCAGCTAGAAGAAAGGTACCAGAATAGCCAAGCGCAGGTAAATCAATTGAAAACAGTTGTTGAAAGCCTAAAAGAAATAAAAAAGATATCTAAACAAGTATCAATGTCCACAACAGATTTAAAAGATTGGACTGTTCAGAAATTAGAAGAGTCAAATATTGCTTTAGCTTCATTTAAAGATCTATTGAAAAATAAAATGGATATACAGAATGAGTATAACATGACTGTTTCTTCGTATGAAAGTCTTAAGAAATCTTTAGAAGCCCTTGAATCGGAGTTAACGGTAACAAAAATGGAAAACAACATGATCAAATCAACCTTAAAAGAAATAGTTCACAATGAAGAAAGCATTGATGTTCAATTAAATCTAATAAAATGTAACATTGACGAGCATAACTTTGGTATGAAGGCTGCTCTGTCTATCCTCAATCATGACATACCTAATATGAAGCCAAGCGCAGCTTGGGACTTTATCACGAATAAAATTCAATCTCTACAAGAACAACTGTTGACTAAATTTTCATCCGACGATTTGTACAACAGGGTTAAACAATTAGAAAATGACTTAAAGGATGCAGAGAGCTTTAAGAGAAATTTTGCCAATGAATTGCATGGCCTTCAGCAGGATTCAACTAGTGTTTTTGATCTTATGAAACTTCCCCTGATGGAACTTCATCGAAAAATGCTTATGACAATAATGGAAAAAGAACAGCATTTGATTGATGACATTAAAAGGCAATACGAAGAAACAATTTCTCTTGGCTCTGAAAAAATCAACCAGCTCGAAGAAGAAGAAAAACGTAGATCAGCGTGGTTAAACGAGTTGGAAAAGGACAACGATAAATTGAACTCAGAATGTACCAAAATAAAAGATGAAAATGCTAATTTAAAAGTTCAAATTCAGAATAAAATTGAAACAATCCAAAAAATGCAAAAAGATCACCAAGAAGAAATAAACAAAATAAATAACAGGTATTTGTTTGATGAAACAATCGAGGTTAATAGAGAGAAGAATCCTAATTGTTTCTGCCAACAATCCCCAGCTCTTCAGGAACGTTTCAACGATTTAACTTTTAAAATAGAAGAAAAGACGATTGCATGCGAAAAGTACAAAAAGCTGGCAAAAGAATTGGAAAACAAAATCACAGCAATGACTGAAGAACTTACTACAAAAGATTCTGAAATTAAATCATTCAATCATCGAATTGAATTGGCAAATGAGACTTGTAATAAATTAAACATTCAATACCAAGAAGTTGTAGATGAAAATAAGGCAGCAGTCATAGAGATAACTGACTTAAAAAATAAATTGAAAAATCAAATTGAGAAGTATTCTGTACTTGAAGGTATTAAAAAAGATCTGGTAGAGAAGGATAATACAATAACAGATTTACTTGAGAAAGTTTCATCATTGGAAAAGAAGCTCGAGTCTGAAAAACAAGATTTAATTGCAGAAATCGAAAGTATGAAATCACAAGTTAACAAATCCTCTGAAAATAATTGTTCAGAGCAAGTAAAAGTCCTAGAAAAAACTATTTATGATCTAGATTCCCGACTTGTAAAGCAGAATAAAATGTTGGAAGAATCTGAATCGGCATACACCAATTTGGAAAGCAAATACAAACACGACACATCACTATTACATAAATTCATAGAAGATTTGGAAGTAAAACATAATAAAGTTGAAGGTTTGTTGTCTGATATTAAAACACAGTTAGAAAGAAAAGAAACAGAAATCCATGATATATTTGTTAAAATTAAAATGCTTGTAGATTGCAATTCGATCGATGAAGCCATTTCGAAAATTAAGACTAAATTCTCTCTTTGCAAAGAGTTGTCAGATCAGCTCGAAGAAGAGAAAGAGACAAACAAACAGCTATATCATGAAAATGAAATATTGAACTCTAATAATAAGCATATTAAAAAACAATTAAATGAAAAAGTTAATGAATTGGATCATAAAAATAAAAAATGTTTAGAAGATAACAATAGCCTTTTTGAAAAAGTGACACTACTCGAAAGTAAAAATCACTCTCTAGAACAGAAAACTGCAGAAAAAACTTCCGAATACGAAAATGTTAGACAAAAATTGGAGAAAATAATAAAATTAGTAGAGGTAAATACATTCGAAGAAGCTTTAACATCCATACAAACAAAAATATCCTTTTGTAATGATTTAAAAGAAAAACTGGCAGATGAAAAGGAGGCAAACAAGCAAATGGACAATGAAAATGAAATTCTTTACACCGACATAAAACACCTTGAAAAAGAACTCCGTGATAAAATGATAGAATTAGAAGGAAACAATGCAAAATTCCTTGAAAGCAACAAAGAAATGTTAGAAAAATTAAAAGAACTTGAGAATAAAAATCACTCTTTAGAACTAAAAATAACAGAAAAGACTGCTGAATATGAAACTATTAGAAAAAAGTTGGACAATACTTGTGAAAATGTTATAAGAATAGTTGATGGAAATACGTTTGAAGAAGCCCTGGTAAATATAAAGACAAAAATAATACTCTGTAATGAGTTAAAAGAGCAACTGGAAGAAGAAAAGGAGCGGAGCAAACAACTGGATAATGAAAATGAAATCCTTTACACGGATATAAAACATCTTGAAAAAAATCTAAAAGAAAAACTCATTGAACTGCATGAAGTTGAACAAAAACTAAACGTTAATACTGTCCACACAGAAAAAATTAACGAGTTAAATAGGAAAATAAAAGAATATGAGGAGAAAGTTGTGTCATTAGAAAATATCGTTGCAGCTAAAAAACTTCGAATAGAATCTATTGAAATGAAATTCCAAGCAGAAGCTAATGAACAATTAAACTTAAGAAAAGAAATTCGAATATTGGAAGGGAAATTGAAGAGAAACGAAGAAAAATTGAAGGCCTTTGGCAGAGAGCAAGAAAAGTTAAATAGTGATCATAAATTCCTTGAAGAAGAAAATATTAAATATGAACAAAGGATTTCAAAAGCCGTCGCTGACTACAAGGCAATTACCCTCGAATTGAAAGAAGAACGTGATAAATTTGAAAAAGAAAATGAAAGAAGAAAACACCTTGAAGATGAGTTGAATAAATATAAAACTGGATTTGCTAACGAGCGTAAAGCTTGTCAAAACACAATTGAAAAGCTTGAAGAAGAGAAGAAAACCCTGCATAACAAATTAGGTGAGCTTGAGTCAAATGAAAAGAAAAGGCCACTCAAAGAATTGCAGCAAAATGGTATGTATACTACTGATTATATTTTACTGCATGTATATTTATTTATTTTATATCTTTCCTGCTAGATAATTTATCAGAAGAGTTGAAAAAAGAAATTCAAAAAATTAAAACTGATTTAATGATTAAGACAACTCACTCGACGTCTCTTGAAGCAGAAGTGGAGAAAATTAAAGCCTCTTTACATCAGAAAAATAGTCTCATCCAAAGTTACAAAACTAGGGTAAGAAATTACAGTATGTTAATTAATTAATAATTTTTTTAGACATTTCCTCTTGGGTTCTGCAAAATCTGAAGTTTGGTTGTACATTTAGTCTGTAAGACCTTACGTTCTCACATAATTTTCTTCCTCATTGCTTTATAGCTGAAATGCACTGAAACATTGTTCCCTAGAAAGTGTGTATTGCCGCAAAATACAAATTACATGACTTTGTCAGCTAAAATAATAATTTATATATTGTCTACACATAATCCTGTAAATTAAAAATTCAGGAACTCCTCCAAACTGTGAAAGCATTATGAAATAAAAAAAAACCTTCAAAACTTAAATGAAATCATGTTATATGTTTAACATCTGGTGGGAGGGTGTTGTAAATTATCACACATATCTGTTATTAATTTGCATGTTTTTTATTATATAGTGGAAATCAGTTGCCATACCCATGAAAATGTGAGTTCCTGACAAGCATATGTTTATGCTTAACAGCAAAACTTGCTAAGGAGAGAATATAAGCATGACATTATCAGAATTCTTAATTTTTTTAAAATTAAGTTAGCCAGCCTAGTACATAACACAAATAATTCTTTTTCTAATTAGAAAAATTTTAGTTAAGTGTGAGCTACACAGTCTGTAATTGAGGATTGGCCTGAAAGATATAAACCACTCTGATTACATAGGCACTTGACGACTGTCTAAGCATTCTTATATCAAAACAATTGGCCGCCGAGTTTAGATTGCTGTGAAAAATATGTTCCTTCCATGTTAACTTGCTGTCAAGGACATCAATTTCTTAGATTGGGTCCAATGAAGACTCATCATCTACTAAGATGACAGCTGATGATAAATCATTAGATAGCTAAAACTGAGAGCTGTTTTCTGTATATTAAGAGCAAGGTCATTCTACAATGCCCAAAAAAAATCAAGTCATAGTTGACTCAAGTAATTAACCAGTAAAGTGAAAGCACAAAACTTGGCATGTTGAAAGTGCTGTGCTTTGACTATCATTATTTCAGAAACAGTGATCTTTAGAATTACTTCTTTTTAGTTCTTGTTCAAAAATCCATTTTTCTGTGACTAGAACTAATTAATTGCATCATGGTCTTATAAACTGAAATAATAATTTATTAATGATATTTATATGTATGCCTTATATACATTGTGTTTGCAGATTTCTGAGTACATGAGTAAAAACAAAATTCTTCAATCCAAGGTAGAAGAATTTGAAAAAAGACCTCCTACCCCTGTCATGCCAGACAGCGTAAGCTGAATACAATATTATTCTCTCCTTAAATTAAATTTGACTCCTTGTGTCTTTTCCAGTATAAGTCTCTGTCAGAGCTCGAGTCGAGAGTCAAGGAAAGGGAAAAACAAATTGAAAAACTTGAAGGCGAAAGGACAATATTGAAGAAATTGGCCAGTCGAAGGCTGGCCAAAGCGACTGAATATGAAGCGATTTTAAAGAAATTGGGATAGTAAGAGCATTATTACATATTATTTTATGATTTTCAATTACTTTCGAGGAGGATTCAGCATGTTACAAACTCTCTTTAACTCTTTCAAAACTTTTCTACTGCGTTTCTCTGACTTTAACACTGATTGGCTATGACAAAACTGTTTGAGAGTTGAATCCCTATTTGTTGTTTACAATAAAAAAATTAATATTTTGTTTTTATTGTTGTAGCACGCCAGGGCAACAGGAAGCTTCAATGAGTAATAGCCTACCTGGATGTCATTCTTCTAGTTAGTTTTTATCAATAATTCTATTTTTTTATATTCTGTATGTATTTATTCCTGTGGATGATCTCCTGTACATAAATTTATACTACTTATTGTTTAACACTGTTTTAAATCTAAAATATATAAACACTTAATTTATATGTAAAATAAACTACTTTGTAAGAAACATAAATAATTGATATTCATTTTAAGGTTCTAGTATCTCATCAAGACATTTCTATGTTAACTTCGATGATCTTTTAAAGCCAAGAAATAAATAATTGATTCTTAAAAATCTTTTTGTTAATTTTACAATAAAAAGTATGTTAAATGGACAATTTACAATTATTTAAATAAATAGTCTATCAATTGTATTTAGTGACTATTACACAACCTTTCATTGTCAATAATTCTGTTCTAATTTGTTGTTCGTAGATTTCTCTCTCTCTCTCACTCACTCACTCACTCACTCACTCACTCACTCTCTCTCTCTCTCTCTCTCTCTCTCTCTCTCTCTCTCTCCCCTCTCCCTTCTATCACAGGACCTGTGATTACAGACACCAGATAATTATGGGTGCCACACTATTTTCCTGGGGATAGTAAGCCTATTTCAATTAAATTAAAGTTAATGAAAATATGTAAATGAACTTTATTTTTTAAAAATAGTAATAATTAAGCCCTATCTAATTAGCCAACTCTGCAATGAATCAAATGAAGCAAAATATTTATTACATATTCTTATGTTGTAAAGCCTGTTCTCTGATGCATTCGATATCTTGAGTCCTCCAGTGTCTTCCCTTTTTTCCCGCTCAAGTGTGCGCTCCCTTGATCTTGACAACCTTTAGAATTCCAAACAATTAGAAGAAAATCATCATTGTGTGTCTTTCTCTCTCTCTCTCTCTCTCTCTCTCTCTCTCTCTCTCTCTCTCTCTCTCTCTCTCTCTCTCATTATCTATCTTTTTGTGTCCATACTTGCCTGTTTATTTATATATTTTTTCTTATATTATTTAATGTATGAAAATAAAAAAAATAGCAATGTAAACAAAAAAGTTGCAATAATAAAATTGTAGTGCAAAAATTTTTTTTTTTTAATTTACAACAAAATTCTAGGGCCATAATAAGGTTAATATTAGAAAGTAATTAGACAAAAAACAGCTAGTCAACTAATTGAAGATGGCAAGGACATAATAAATTATGGATTCAGCTACAAAATTATTTGCCACATTTTATGTATTTAATTTTTTAACAAGTTTGTTGATGAAGGATGTTTTTAAATTGTTACTGTTTTTAGTTTATTAAACTAATTTTTTAACTGGATCAACACATCCCAATTGTTAACATGATATAATGAACAATAACTACACATCTTGAAGCAACCTCAGAAATAATAAAATTGGGCTTCTAAAATCTACCAAATCATATAGACCATATAAATCTTTCAGCTCGGTGTTCTGGACACCTGTGACAATATTGTCTGCCTTGAAGCTATTTGAAGTGAACTTGTGACATCCTCTGCTGAAATTTTTAAAGTTTGTCAAACCTTCATTACAATGTAGCAACATCCCCTTAGGAACTTTCAAACTCCACAGAACCGTAAAGGGACTCCGGAAGCCGAGTTAGCGTGTCACAGACTCTTGGCTTATAGACCACGGTTCGATTCCCAGCAACACCCATGGAATTTACTAATGCTCCTATTTCCCACAAAAAATACTTACAATGTCTCTGGCTAATATGAAGACCATTTTTTCTAAAAGTCACCTCATCTTATCTATTTTAAACATAGTTTATGGATGCTTAATATATGGAGAAACAAGCAACAGGTATAGATACGTGGAAGTTCAATATTTCCCTCAAAAACACGCATCAAACTATCTTTCCAGATACACCTAAGACCTATTCTGAGTCCAGTGAGATCTATCGTGATTATATCGGTGGTAAATTAAGTTCTAGTAAGTTGGGTTATCACAATTGGAAAACTACAATTGTAAAAGATATTAAACTGAAAACATTTATTTATCAATCTGAGCTCAACGTATTAAGTTAAATTACCTGTTAGCATTTAATAACTATGTAATATAAAAGATAGCCCTACTCTGATTATTTTTGCTCATTTTGTCTGTAGCAAGTATTTTCAGTGTTCACCAGTCCTGACAAACTTTAAATTTACAAATAGTTGTGAACTTTCGAAAACCTAAAACTTGTATTTACAGTCAGTCATCTACATAAGTTTCCATCCATACAGTTTTGTCCAATCCGTTGTAAAAAAAAAAAAACAACCAAAGATGAATTTTCTCTAAAATATAAAAGCAATATTTTATGAACTATTAATAAAAATGTAAAACTACCAATATATAATATAACCATATTGGTTATATATATAAAATAATCCATAAATGCTAATTATCAACAATCAATAACAGTTCTTTAAATGAATAACCATAAAAGAATGTTGAATCGAGTTTTTATCTTTTGTTATTCAGATATCGTGAGATCTGAATAACTATAGATTAACAGTCACTAATCTCTACACATTTTTATCTTTTGTCAAAGGATGTTTATTTTAAGAGGCTTTCCTTAGTCATACAAGAATTAAGAAACCATCATAATGATTCTGCGAATGAAGATATGAGAACAATGACGCAGAAATTCAAATAGATGATAATGGAAAAAATACAATGAATGACTCACAGATGATACAGTTGAAAGTAAAGATTTCGATTAACACAAATGGGAAATATCAAAATTTAAAAGAAAAATCATTAAAAACTATATTCTCTCCTTTAATATTTTAGATATTTTTAACTTTTAACTTTCTTTGCTCTACAAATAACCACATTAAATATAATTAAATTCATTTTTTGTTATTATGAGAAGCTTACAAAGACCAGCGCAAGAACTAATCTGAAACATAGAGCATCGGTTCTATTAAAAAAGTAAAATAAAGTAATATTGGTCATAGAGGAGGGCTTAATAACAGTCATACTCCCTAATCACTTGGTTACTGCAGTACTAATTAAATAAAAAATATGTCATGAGAAGATAATTTTTTTTAAGAAGAAAACATTTCAGGAAGGATAACTTGTTTTAAAAGATCTGTTAATCAGAAAAATGAAATTTAATTGTATTACTTTTTATTGTGGTTGTAACTTTTAATTGTGTAAAGTTCATTGTATTAACTGTATTGAATAGCTGGAATGAGGTATATAAAACTCGGATCAACACATTTTGTGTCTTCTTTGGACTATTAAGAATTCCATAAAAAATGCCAAATGGTGAAGCCAGAGGATAGAATCCAGTGCTAAAAAAAAAAGGGTAGTCAGTAAGTCAGCAGTCAAATTAAATTGATAATTGGTCACGAGTCATTTTCAGTATAGAGTTAGTCATGTGTCAGTGCCCAGTGATGAGTTAGAAGTTGGATAGTGAATACGACAGTTGGTTGCTAAAAGGCTAGACCTTTGTTGGATTTTTATGAAGTAAGCGAGCTTTTGTAAGGGGAGTGTTTATTTTTTTTATTTTATTTCCCCAATGACAAATTTGGAATAAAGGTAAATCATGACGACTGATTGACTCCGTTTTACTTTCTGAGATAAACATCTCTCTCGCCCTCAATTTACGACATATGTTTGGATGCTGAAAATCTCCAGTAAAAAATTATTTTCTACATTGTTCAAGAAGAACAACTGTCCAGCAAAAATAAGAATTAATTGAACAATTATAATACAGATGAACTCATATACAAAACTATATGTAATATCTACTGACAGACTAATTGAAAATTTATTAGTGTGTAAGAACAATTTCAATTAGGAAAATAGGGGAAGCATAAATAAAATCCTAAAATAATCAAAAAATAAGCCTTAATTTTCAAAAGGTAAACTCTGTTTTATAAGGAAGCCTACAAACAATGTACAAAAGAAAATAGTTTAATCATCAGCAACACTTACAATAAAGTAACTATTGAATTACTCAAGGATATTATAGAACCCGCAAATTGTTTTAAAAACAATACATTTGAAGAGAGAACGCTCTAAATTAATCTTTGGTCTTTTTATTGCCTTTAGAAACAGTTTCCTTATAAATATTATTTTATAATTATAATCAGATTTGGCTTTATGTATTAAAGTCACGAGACGGATTTGCTTTCATTATTGATTTTAAGTTGTATATGCTACTTGGTCTTGCTTATTCAGAAATTCCATTTTTTTTTTTTTGCAAGATAAGCTTGTTATCTGACAAAAGACTAATGTAATGGACCATATACCATTATGCCATGTAAGATCATTTGTGGCTGACGTCTTTGATTTATCAGTTTAACAACTTTGGACTTATCAGCATTCTGGATGTCTTTTTTCCTTTACTTCCTTGTTGAAACAAGGTAAAAAAAAAATCGACAGACACAGGCAGGACATTTGTGTAGAACAAAGATGAATCCGTATGTCACACTGACAGTTTTAAAGGAAGGGGACCGTAGTGTCCAAGTAGTTAGGATGTCCAGCTAGCTTATATTTGCGACAGCTTTTTCATTGATAATGATATTAAAAAATACGTAAAGTGGTTTGACACCCAACAGATAATTGTAAGGTAGGTAAGTTGAATTACTTTACTTCGCAGTTAATTTTAAACAAGCAGTGCACAGCTCTATCAGGCTGAAATCATTCAGCTAAGCATGATATAGAATAGAAATGTTAAAAAAAACAACTTGGTTAAATCTTGCTAGAAAGGAAGGAAGAGGCTGCCTGAAGGGCAAAATAGGCAGCAGAAAGCACAGAATACACAGAATCATTTCAATAAGTTCCATGTGGGAGCTAGACTTCAGACGGTTATGACGGTGCACACGAGACAAACAAAAGACTCTCAGTGCATGGAAAAAATAAAAAGTGTCTTTTTAGGTTTGGAATCGTAAGTGATGACGGATGAGGACATAATATATGACTTAAAAAATTGGGGAGGGAAAGAAGCCTACTTCTGCTGTTTGTTTATTCTCAGGAGAACGGCACTGGCCATTTTCTCTGGAGATGATGGCACCCCATGAAAACTATTTCTGTCCATTTATAGGAGCAATGCATTTCGTATTGATTAAAATTTTAAAGTGCAAGAGTAAAAAATGAATAAATATAATTTATTGTATGATTCCAAACAATTATTTATTGTTCAATTAATTAATATTTATGAAAGGTATTCGTCGAGATAAAATTTGAAAAATGGCAAAAAGGAGGGAAAATTCGAGAGGTGAGGTTGAGATGGCAAGTTGGTGTCCGATCGGATCGAAGTCACGACCGGACCGAAGATCGTGGGTTCGAATCCAGCTCGTGACACTGGCTTTTTTTTATCTCGACCAATACCTTTCATAAATATTAATTAATTGAAAAATGTTAATTGTTCGATCGGACCACGAACTGCAATGGATTATTTATTGTATTTACGCGTTTTTCTTATTTTTAGCGCAATATTATTTTTTACTTTTGTCTTTAGGCCATTTATAAATAACTAACGTTAACGATGAGTACTTTTTTAAGTCGTAGTCTAAAGCGGACACTGTATTCATTATTCATTCTCAACAATTCCTTATTTATAATGGGAATCTTGTTTATGAATACTTTTTAATAAATTCAATTGCCTTGAAATCATGTTGTCTTTGACCTTTTATTAGTCATAAATCGTCGTTTTGTTAACAAGTCGTGGAAGTATTTCGATTAGTTTTATTTTGTTACTTCAACATGTTATCCAGATTTTATCTCGTTCTTTAATTCTCGAACGTGCGATGGAACTTCGGCAGAGATACAGGACAAAATGGCTGTCCTAAAATAAAATTTTAAAAAATTACGCCTGCTAAATTTGTAAGAAATGATGATAGCGTCTTAGCTTATAGCTATTGACTTTTTTTTTTTAACAAAAAGCTATTTTGTTTTTCAATAAAATAAAAATAAAAGCAAAGGTCGTGTCAGAAATACACGACGTCTAATTAAAGGGATGCCAATGAAACAACCTATTCATCTCGTCTTCAACCGATCAAAGCCAGATAGCGATTACTTTTGGGTCCTTTTTTTGTAAATTAACCCAAACAAGAAGCACGTTCCCTTTTCTCACGACCGTTGGAAAACAAAGGATTGCTATATTTGTGATATATTGAAACAGGCGGATGAGATTGCTTCCTAGTGCCCTTGAAAAGCTAAGATTTTCATGAACCGAATGATTAGTGACTCATGAAACTGTAGTTGATCATTAAAACTACTACTAGCTAGTTACTAGCTACGCTGATTATCTCAGGCTAAGAAGTACGAACGTTAGCTAATTGTACCGTCACGTCCGACAAGCCCTCCTCCATGCACAGGACGCTCTGCGTACATAAATAGACCCCACCATCCGTCAAATTCCATCATTTACAACAATGTTAACAGTACGATTAACACTCATCCTCTCCTGTTTTGCATTCGTAACTCCAACATGTGTGGACCGGGTTATTTGTAAGTAAGATTCAATTAATTTTAACATAAATGAGTGGATAAAAATTGCTTAAATGAGGAACATGGAGATTGCTGTATTCAAAGACGATGTTCTTACTCGGAGAAAAATCTTTCTTTTTTTTTCATTCCAGTTAAACGAGATTTTTTTTAAAAATAATACGTTTAAATAAAACTGCAAACGAAAGAAGACACGAAATTTTTGTCACTAAAACTACACACTAATTCATTCAACTCAAAATGTACATTTAAAAAATTAAGTTTATTTTATTTTATTTTTTAAATAAATTTATAATTTTTTAAAAAATAATAATTAATTACGATATTTCACGATTAGGCGATCCTATGCCATTTTCAAGAATTTCAAGTTTTATGGAAACATTTTTAATTTTACATTATTCCTTTTAATATGCCATATATTTTTATAATTAATGAAATTCATTTTTTGTTCATTTTTATTCCATTTATTTAATTAATTTTTTTTACAAATGAAGACAAAAAAGGAATTTTTCACAACGAAGAAAAAAATTATTAATTTATTAATTATTCAGAAATCGTGTGTTGCGGTCTGGTGTGATGTAGGTTTCAGAAAAACATTTTCTTTATCGTGCCAACGTTTCGATCTTTATTGAGAACATCATCAGGGCTCAAAGTGTTTGTCTTCTGTGTAATTGTGCCATTCTTGCGTGTCGTGTTGAGAGTGCCCATTATTAATTTATGTTTCTTATTTATAACTTTTTGTTTTTATTATAATTATATAACATGAAATTATTTATATTTATCTTATTAACTTACTATTTCAATCAATTTATCCCTTTTTTTCACTCACCCGCTGTCGTTGTGCATCTCTCTCTCTCTCTCTCTCTCTCTCTCTCTCTCTCTCTCCCCTCTTCTTCTCTATTTCTCTCCCTTCTCTTCTCTCTCTCCTCCTCTTCTTTTCTTTTCTCTTTTCTCCTCTCTCTCTCTCTCTCATTCTCTCTTCCTTCTCTTCTCTCTCTCTCTCTCTCTCTCTCTCTCTCTCTCTCTCTCTCTCTCTCTCTCTCTCTCTNAGGGAGCGATAATTGTTTAAATTCTCCCTCCGTGTACACGGCACACCCCACGCCCTCTGCCGTTTTGGACCCGTCTGTAAAGACGGGTGTCGCATGTCTATATTCATCTTTTAGGGCTTCAAACATTGCTTTATATATATACTCGGGTGTTTCGTTTTTCTTTAATTTGGCCATATCCCACCGTACGAGGAAAGCGGGGAGTAACCAGGGGGACGTTTTGGGAAGCTTTTCTGCGTCCACCCGGTTCAGCTCTACTCCCCACGCCGCTAATATTTCTTCGGCTCTTATGGCCAGCGGCCTCGTACGGGTTCTCAGGAGGGCGTATCTTTCTCTGGAGTTAGGTTCGAAAAGGGTCTTATATAAGAAATGGTCCGGCCTTGCCCATTTGCTCGCATAATATTTCAATATTATTTCATCTCTTTTTAGAGCAGGGGGGAGAACCCCTGCTTCAACGCAGATGCTATCGAGCGGGCTTGTCCTGAACGCGCCTGTTACTAATCTTAAGCCTTGCATATAAATAGTGTCTAATTTTTTCAGGCGCGTTCTTCTTGCAGAACCGTAGGCCATACAACCGTAGAATAATTTCTGGCACAGCAGCGTTTTAAAAAGGGTCATCAATACCTCTCTTTCTGCTCCCCATCTGAAATTCGACAGGAATCTCAGGAGGTTGATGATCCGTTTGCACTGGACTTCGATATTCGTGATATGTGGTTGCCATCTTAGTTTCTCGTCGAAAGTCATGCCGAGGAACTTTGAACGGTCCGCGTACACGATGGCTTCGTTCCCCAACCGCAGCCGAGGGGGGTCATGCTCCCTCCTCAGTCTACAGAAGTGTACTGCCTTCGTCTTTCCCGCGGAAAAGGAAAAACCTATCTTCTCGGCATTGGCAACCATTTTGTCGATTGCGGTCTGTACTCTTGTTCCGACTTCTTCCAAATCTATACCATGAGCGTAGATAGCGGCATCGTCGACATAGAGCGAGATCATCATTGGAGGCTCAATACCGTCGACGATACCGTTAACCGCAATCGCAAACAGGGTAACCGACCGTACCGATCCTTGCGGGATCCCATTTTCTTGCTCTCTCCTTTCGGATAGCGTACTTCCCAGCCTAACCCTAAACTTCCGGTTGTTGAGGAAACTCCTTATCAAATCCGGAAGTCTGCCTCTCAGACCAAACTCGTGACACTTCCGGAGGATACCATACCTCCATGTCGTATCGTAGGCCTATAATTAAAAAACTCAATTCCTTAATAATTAATTGGATGTTATTAATTTATTGAACATTTTCACATAAAATATACAAATATGTACTGTATATATACAGATTTTAAAAGCTGTAAAGAAGAAAAATAAATAATCGCACAACGTGAGTACATTTTTACAATTTTTAAATTTAAAGTAATGATATGAAAGTAATTATAATAAATAAGTAGTTTTATAATATAATAAGTATAATCAAATTTTTAATCTAATTATCGATTATCAGGATGTAATAGATAATGTTGGCTCAACTTCACACACACAGGCACACGCAATCAAGTTTGTGGAAAGTTGATTTATTTGACTTTTCTCATACCCTTAATAAACACGCAAAGCACGCCTGAACAAGAAGATTGAAAATCTAAAAGTACCCACTATAAATGTATAATAATGCATAAAATAAAATGTGATTCAATTTAGAATTTTTCAAAAAAAATTTATAAATGTTTAATAAAAAAAATCACTTTAGTGACTTTTTACCTACATCTGTATTTTTGAAATTTATTTATAAGATAAATGATGGAGCGTCTCATTTCATAATGGAATATGTCATAAAATTCTTTTTTTTATTGTTGTAATTTTGAAGTGATTAGAATCCTAAATGTTCTCTTTAAACTGTTAACTTTTTCCAGTTCCCATGAACGACGAAATAAGAAAAGTGATCATTGATACTCACAACGAATTGAGAAACAAAGTGGCTAAGGGGGACCAACCGACACAAAACCCGGCTCAAAACATGAGAAAATTGGTTGGTTTTGATTTATTCATATATATTAATTATTTTATGTAGATCCTATACTGAAAATATTTATAAAATTAAGTTAAACAGATTTTTTGTATATTTTTTCATATTTTGGTAAAAGTCGGCTATTTACTTTTATATTTATTCTTATACTTATTACTTACCTTATAATGTGTTTTTTTATAGTCAAGATACTTAAAAAATCGATTAAAAAAAAAGGATTTCGCTTTACGATTATGTGGTGTGAAAGCCATTTTACCAAGACAAGGACACGTTCACAATCAAATTTCACAGCAGAATTTGTTACAGTATTGGGTTCGATTGTGATGAATTGAGAAATAATAATTTTTTACTTCCCGTGCAAATGTTTTAATTTTTAAGTTTTTTTAAACATTATTAACTAACGTGATACAGCATATCGATTGTATGGATATAAAACGAAAGATATTTATTTTGATTTTGTTCTCTATTTTTTAATAATTTGTTTTGTTTATCATTTCTCTTTTGCCAAAGAAATTTTATATAAAAGAACTTGATTAATCCACATTTTATTAGTTGTTATAATTTTTGTGTTTTAGTTTTTGATTTTAAAAATCCACTTTAAAACTGTAAAGAAACGTATTTTTGTTGTTGTTGTTCGTTTTGTCAAATAATGCACTTATCGATCGTGGCCGTTAAACGAGCTGCTGGTGATTTCAACGCTTCAGTTCTTCCGCTAGATAGTTTTCAAAAACAAACAAAGCCGGCGTATTTTGTGTAATTGTTGTTTGTTTCACAATGGTCAGATACCTCAAGGTCTCAAGGAAAAAAGTTGATGCTGTAACAAATAAACAAAGAAAGATACATTTGTTCCCCAGTCGGACGTACAGACGTGTTCATTTTTCAGAGAGGCCTTAATGATATCCCACATAACGACCTTCGGAAATCGCTTGAAATAGTACATTTCACAGGTTTTTTTTGTACGATTTATGCTCATTTTGAACATAGCGAGTTATTTTAATGACTCTTGAAACCATGGTAGTAATTCAGCCGAGATAATAGAAAATATTCCACAAAAAACCAATTCGAAATTCATATTGATTCTCCACATTTTGTGTTTTGTGTTTCCTTTTGTTAATTGTTTTGTATTAAACTCAGTCATGAGTTGATTATTCTTTTATGAGTAACTGAACGGTTTAAATACTGTATCCTTGGTATAGCTGGTATAATTTTAAATATCTTTTTTAACTTTATCTCTTTATATTTTTTTTACTCGCAACCTATAATCTCATGATTTGAATTGATAATTTAAGTTTTCTATTTTTATTAATAAAGTTATTGTGTGTGGGTTTTTTTAGTATTGGTCAGAAGCACTTGAAAAGGAAGCACAAGATTGGGCGGACACATGTCAATTCAGACATGACCCTCTACTTAGAGGTACTTTAACTACTTCTTTTACCATATCCTGTAAAATTTAGATATAAGTATCCACTAATTACAGGTATCTAATCGGTTCCTACATATGTACAGTTAAAAAGCAAATTTAAATAATTGAAGTTAAAATACTTTGGGTGAGAAGATGGATGACTTTCAATCATTTTTTTAAATCAAAATACAAATTCTTTACAAGTTAACCATTTTTCTGTTTCTAAAACTTCTTTCAAACTATTATTATTTAATTGTTTAAACACTATTCTCAACCTGATTTGGATATTATTCCTGGTGTTAGATGTGTTTTGGCCATTTGCAATTGTTAGTTTGTGGGTTATTTTATTAGCCGTTTAGTTTTCATATTCTACTTCCAAACTTTTCTTCTAACATCTCAAAACATGATAAAAGGACACAATCCACAAATCAACACAACAGCTTATATAATTTGTAGCATTAATTAGACAATGGATCCATCTGCCAGAGGTCATTGGAATTTTTTTGTTTAAATAATTTTATATGCATATATAATCAAAGAATAAGAAATGCAAATATAAATATTATAAATCAAGCATAGAAATCATAAAAAATACACAATTTATTTATTAATAACAAATTAAATTATTGTAACAACTCGTAACTAAAACTACTAAAACTACATGAGTGCCTTGCATAATGAATCAAGTGTCGAGAATCTGAGCCCTCCAAAAACCGTAGCAGGTCACCTCTTGATAGAGTGAAATAACTGAGGTGAAACAAATGAATTTCACGTTTGTGCGTGCCAAAAGTGAAAAACAGTTTCAATGGCATGAGAGTTGCAGAGGGAAACCAGATCACCTCCTATCCAATTGCAGCACTGATAAACAAAGACTATCAAAATTGGGTTGTTTTACATCATATAATGCTGGAGAAGTTTTTATCTCCTTACATAAAGACAGGTGAGAAGATGCTAGGTCATGTCAAGCACATTAAATCAGTGGAATACCTAAATACAGAAGGAATTCCTAAATACAAATAACCAGTGGAGTTCCTCAACACATAAGATAATTTGGAGTACCACATGGCAATATAAGTTTTCTTATAAAGAATGTTGGGCTTTACAGAGGTTAGATCAATTTTTACTTCTAAAACCTCCTTCTGAGGTCATTGCTCACAATCCACAAAGCACACAGACAAACCATGGAAGATGCAGAAACCCACCCCCCCAAAAAAAAAAAAAAAAAAAAAATCAGTGTGAAGTTTTACACTAAATGATTATTTATTTATTTATAACACTACAGTTCAGTTGGGGCAAATGACCCAAAATTTGAACAGTCAAGAGCGCATAGACAATCACTAAAACATAGAATAAAAAACTCGCTTAAAACTAAATATAAATTGTTTCAAAACAAAAGACATAAGCACATGTAACAAATAAAAAGGAAAAACTACAAAACAGGGCTAAGAGCAACACTGCTTTAAAGCTAGTGCACTCTTCTTTTTTAAAGCTTGTAATTAAGACAAAGAATGGGTCAGTGTTGTTTTTATATTAATTAATATATCTCAACACTTTAGAGATCATGATTCCCAACCCTAGTTTGTCCTATGCTGGCAAGCATAAAACAATTCATAAGCATTGCATTGATAGGACCCTAAAACTTATGCTGGATAAAATCCCCAAGGAATCAATTGTATTGTTCAGAATCTTTCATGGAAACAAAATCAAAGCCAAAATTCTTGTCTGATGTTATAAGACATTGTTTTGATATCTGACCAGATTCTGTCTTATGTTATAAAGGACATCATATCTGTTTCTTGAGTATTTAAAGGCACTCCTTTGAATCATTTCAATCATGTGATTTGATTGATCTGAATGACCAGATCTAGCATATTCCACATGACTGTGAACCTACTGTCTTTTTACAAAGTCCAAGTTTTCAAGCACTTTTTTTAACAGCTATGATATAGTCAAGAAAGTTGCAGTTTTCATTGAAAGTAATCCCTAGGTGAAAGATCAAACTCTTGCTCTCAATGATATGATATACCAATACTAGACGGCTTCCACGTACTTCTGCAATAGACTGCGTTGACTCAAAAAGAAAATTGGCTGAAAATTTTTTAGGTCGTCAGCTAGGAGTACAAATTAGGTGTTATTAAGGAGGAAACTAACATAATTAAAAAATATAAGAAACAATATTGGCCCTTAGTGAGAGCCCTGAGGCACACTAGTCTTTAAATAAATTATATTTTAATTTTTTTGATAGTGTCCATCCTAATTTTGAAGAACACCATAATAAGCTTTTTGGAAATAAATTGTCTTTTCAACAGGTAACACAAATTATTTTTTGTTTATGGCACTACTGATTTGTTTACTTCAACCACCAATTTTTTATTCTGTTCTATCAAATAGAGAGAAATTTGTTATGAATTACAATTTTATTTTAACAGCATGACTCAATTTACTTTATTGAATACAGTGATACACTAGATACTTAGTTCACTAGAAATTAAATAAGGAATAGTGTGAAACTGGCTTTTCTCATGAATATGTTAATTATTAGACAGATCAGACAATCAGTGTGGATGCCATAGGTAAATAATAGTTTCATAAATTTTACCAATTTCAGAATCGCGTCATGGACAAAACATTTATTGGGTGCATTCCTCTTATGAGAAGATTAACATGACAGCCTATTTGATGGAGGGTGTTATTGAATGGTACAACGAAGTCGATCTCGGCTACAATGGTACATTTAATCCTGAAACAGGTCATTATTCGCAAGTGAGTACGATAAATTTTGTAAAAACATTTACAGTGTTACAATGCTATAAGTTTTCAGTTGATCTGGGGAGCGACTAAGTTAGTCGGTTGTGGAGTTGCTGTTACGAAAACCGGTCGCTATACAGATATTTATTTGGTCTGTAATTACACACCAGGGTAAATATTGTTAATCTTCTGAATCACATGAATTTAATAAAATCCATTATAAAAAAATGATGGTTTTCCAAAAAATGATGAACACTTTCAAATTGAAATTTTATGCTAATATCAGTTTTAAAATCTATTAATAATACATGTATAATTAACTATCATAATCATAATTAATTTTTACCAATTATTTTATTTCAGTGGAAACGTTGTTGGTAAACTGCCTTATGAGTATGGTACAGTGGACTGTGAAAACAATGAAATGTTCTCGTCTACTGATTATTCACATTTATGTGGTGAGTTGAGAAAAACAAGAAATGATAACATAAAACACATAACGGCAAATGCTAATCCTTAGTTTACAAACTAATTGCATGTTCAGAAAAAGGTAAAACGCCCAAAAACTTTTGTTTAATTTGTGAAGATTTTGTTTGGTTGTTTTATTTCAATCTTTCTTTGATTTTTTATTGTGAATGTGGTCCGTTTAATTGCTGCACCTTATAAAACCTCTAATACACATACCAAACACTGAACATGACAAAATGTTGCAAATGTGTTTGCACAATCAAAACCAATGAACTTCATTTGCAGGATTGACAATTGACAATCTTTCAAAAACAATATCCACCCTTTATTAAAATACTAAATCATTAGGCCAATAAAATTAAAATACACCACTTATGCTCATGTAATTTGTATTTTCGCTAAATTCATTTATACCATTTTGAGCGTATTTGATTTATTTTAATAATTGGACTGAACAATAACATAAAAGACCCAAGTTTTCTGCACTATACTTAAGTACTCTACTCCAATTATCTCTAACAAGTTTTCTCTTCGTACTAATGTGCATACTTTATGAATGAATGGTTAAAGCATATGAACTATGATATAATAGATTTTATTTATTTATTTTACAGATATAAACAGAGAAATGTTGTTGAGTTGCCAAAAACAACAAAAAGAGTTAGTAAAGGCTAACAACCACCTTTAAAAAGCAAAGCGAGGGGAAAATTAGTACAGTAACCCATAAAATTGCCAATATCTTGCAGATTTATGCTGTATAAAAATGCAATGTTTTAATTAAATAAAATGTATTAAAATAACATGTGTAGTTATTGGAATGAAATAACAGAATAACTAAATTTAATTTAATTTAATTTAAGAAACTAGGACAAAAATTTTGGGACATTAAAAAAAAGATAAATTAAATAAAAAAGAAAGAGAATTTTACCTGGATGAACTGCATAAATTTCAAAGAAGCTGGCACCACCATCCTCTCTTCTGGGTTCCACCAAGCCTAGTTCAAAGGGTAATGGTATGGAGGATAAAAAATAGGGTGTACTGACAGAAGGGGTGTTAGATAAAAGCAAATCAAATGAAGCTGGATAAATAAATACTTTTAAAAAAATTGATGGTTGGTATGAGGTGAGACGAAAAAGCACACTGAGACGTGATTATAGAAGACTGGTCTATATTTTGTAATATGTAAGTTGTTTCTTATCTTCTTGCTCCATTGTTAACATACTGCCTTTTTTCATTTTTGTTCTGATTGTGAGTATAGTACCATTGATTTTTTTCTACATCCAGGATTAATTGTGAAAAATTTGCTTTTGTTTACAGTATTAACACTTGTAAATATTATTTTATTGAAAAAAAATTGACTACAAACTTTCAATAAATATTTTACAACAATATAGACATCATATTAAAATGTCATTATTTAAAATGTTTCCTTTATTAATCATTACAATAAATTATGAAATTGATCGCAATGGAAATTGAAAATAAAAATTTCACATGTATTGTTTATAAAAATAGTAGTAGGAGTAAAGAGTATACAGTTTATTGTGTTGAATATATTTATGTTTTTAAATATTTAGATAATTTGCCTTTATAAGAACAATATATACAATAAATTTACTTTCTTTAATGTTTCTTTTAATATTTAACAAAAAACATTATTTAATAAATATTCACATTTTTCTATCAAGCCTCTCTTCATCCATTAATTTATTATAAATAGATACAAAGCTACAATGTATGCTGTAATTTCATTAAAAGCGTTTTAAGGCACAATGTTTTATTTGGATGATATTTTTCTTGTACATGATTAACATTTATCACACATTGTATCACAAAAAACAAGTGGTAAGTCTTATAAAATAAATTATATAATAATAGAAATATTATAAATAGTTGAATTATTCTTTTTTCTTATGTTGCAATGATTGAAGGCGCTTGCGGTCGGCAACGGTGACATTGTTGAAATCGAGGGATTTCAAATTGGGCAAGTTGAGAATGATTTTATTCCTGTACCCTCTTCGTTCTTCGAGGGGGTTTCCATGTACCGTCAAGCTGTAAAGTTCTGTCAGCATTCTGTAATTTACAAAATATTATGTTTTGTTTTGTTTTAACAATAAATAAATAAATTTTCCCCTCCCCCTACAATACAGACTTTAATGGTCTAAGAACAGATGGTAAATCAGCAAGTTGATTTCCATGGAGATAGACTATTTTCAAGTTGATAAATGCTGATAGTTCTGTTGGTATCGAAGCAAGTCGGTTGAACGACAAATCCAGCCAAGTCAACTTTTCAGGAAATTCCAAAAGCTACAAATAATAAAAAATTTACAAAAATATCAATTTAACAAAGCCATTTAGAGTCAGGATTTGTTTAAATGCTTAAATATTATTATTTTATTTTTACAAAATTGTATGTTCAGATTCTAAATGCCATTGCAATCAATAATATGTATGCAAATAAAATAAATTATAAGTTTATTGATTACAGTAAAAGCTAATAAATATTATTAAATATTCAAATATTTCTATTTGTTGTTATTTTTATTTATACCACAGATTTATTGGTTAGGCAAATGCAAATTCTTAATTGATACGGCTGCCAATGTTTTATCATATAAAACAATGGTGAGATTTCTCTGTGCACTCTGCAGGCTGATAATCATGTAATTTTGTCTGTGCAAAAAAATGCTGAAACACGTCTGTCAGACTAACGTAGCGAGGATAAGCACACTAAAATAATCGGTAACAACTAAATATAAAAAAAGTGCTAGCAACAATTCAATCAATCAATTTTCCAAGCTAATAATATTAAATCCATTACAGTTCGTGGTCTGATTGACCAATTAACATTTTTCAGTTAATTAATATTTATATTTCCAAAAATGATTAAATTACTTTTAATATAGCTGTCCTTATTCATTGTTAAATATTATTTGTGGCTATAATTGTCAACCTAATAATTGAAAATTTTAAATTAAATTCCATTTGAAACCTCGTTGGCGATGCCATGAATCCCACTGATTGATGTTAAATAATTGTTGTTGAGCCTTAAGGAAGTACAGCTGTATCTGCCAGCCTTGTTTCTCTTGTAACTTTTCACCCCTCGTCTCGGTTTTTCATTCGCAAGCCCTTCTATCGATGTTAAACTTTTGAATGAATAATCTAATGGCGGTCCAAAGCTTTCACAATTAGACATTCTTCTGTCTGTGCGCTAAAATGTAAGTTTGGTTTAGAAAAGAAAAAATAGGTCAAAATGTGTGAAATGCTTTTTTGTTTTTTGTATTTACTTTCGGCAGGGGTGGAGAACTGGATGGTGACTTATGTGACATGTAATTATTTCCTTCTTTCCCTGCTCGTGTGGCGGACTTCTCTGTTTTGTTTTGTTCGGAGTATATTTAAATTTCTGATGTAGTTTGCTTTTGCTTCTTCCAAGTGTGCATCAGTGGGAGAGTAGACGATTCTAGATCTGAATCGCGCAACTACCTTATCAATTTCCTGGAAAATAAATTTAAAGATTCTTTGAATGTGCCTGCCTAATTTAAATTACTGATGCAAATACCTTTATTAGATCTTTGTGTTTCTTTTTCAAAAGTTGATTTTCTTTTTCTAGTTTTTCATTCAATTTTTGATCCTGTGCATCCTTCTTTTCAGCATCCAACGACCTGAAATGGTTTAATGTTTGTTTTATTGCTTTGGGATAGTTTTATTTGGAGGGAGGGAGGGAGAGAGAGAGAGAGAGGGAGAGGGAGAGAAAGNGAGAGAGAGAGAGAGAGAGAGAGAGAGAGAGAGAGAGAGAGAAAGGAGGGCCAGTGATAGTGTGAGTAATAAAGAGAGAGAGTGTGGGGCTAGTGAGAGTGTGAGTCAGAAACCTAGAGAGGATGGGTGAGAGTGAGGCAAGATTGAGAGTGAGGCAAGATTGAGAGTGGATGAGAAGAGGGCAGAAAGTGAGTGTAAGAGAGAAGGGATTTCAGGGTGAGGGGAAGGGATAGAGACAGCTGGATAGATAGATAGTGAGAGAAAGAGAGAGCAAGAAAGAAAGAGTTGAGAACGGAAGGGTAAGGAGAGAAAAAGGAATATATATATTCATAAAACTACGCTCCTGCAAGAAAAAAAGTCTGCCTCATGCCTCAACCTGCTTATACCCAGACCTAGGGCCATTCGGTATTATGTTTTCGTTCAATGTCACATTTTTCTAATTTCCAAGAATTTGATGTAGAACCAAATGTGTGGTATCCCACCAAATTCAAATAGTAGTACACTGCTACGATTTATAAAATTTGTGTGTGTTTGTGTTTGTGTGTTTGTGTGTGTGTGTGTGTGTGTGTGTGTGTGTGTGTGTGTGTGTGTGTGTGTGTGTGTGTGTGTGTGTGTGTGCGCGCGTGTGAGAGAGAGAGAGAGAGAGAGAGAGAGAGAGAGAGGGAGAGGGAGAGAGAGAGAGTAACCATATCATTAGTTTGATCACATACCCTACAATAGTTTCTGTGCCACTTTGATGGGCAGATACATTTTCATTTTACGACATTCTGTACAACTTCTGTAATAATAATTCTTTTTATATTATTCATTTAAGCATAGAAGACAACGATTAACATACTTGTCTGTATTTATGACAACGATTCTGGTTCGTATGTAGTTAATAACGAGTGGATGTCAAATTCTTAGGCTAATGAAGAACTTAGAAACGAATTTAAATTATTCCTTTTTGTCGTTAAACACTTAGAAATATACTCAATTAATTGTACACAATTTTTTCGAAATGAAAAATTTGTGTCAGGCGGGATTCGAACCCACGACTTTCGGCTTATATAATTAAGTAGAAGCTGATAAAATAATTAAAAATTTAGTACTTAGAAATATTTCAAATCTGTTTGAAATAAATAGTGAATCTATTGTATTTTTACTTAATTTTTATTATACACTCTCCTATTTGTAGTTTTTAAAAGTTTTGGCCGTTTTCACGTCATAATTGAGCATATATCGAAAACTACTAAGTCTACTTCAATTCACTAAGAATAGTTCACGTCAATATTTAGTCGGTTTTATTTATTTTTGGTGTACGGTGTTCAGCGTGAACATTTTTTAGCATTTCTTATCTACAAAATATGTTGAACGATCTACACTTTTCACTTTGCTTAATACGCCTAGGACACGTTGACGTTTCATACGAATTCGGCTTCACGGGCTTCAAATTCTCAGTGAAGATGTCGTGAAGCCAAAGGAAATAGACTGATACTAAACTAAATCCAATCGAATCAAAACCAACTTCAAGTTCAAAGTTATATTACTATACAAGGAATCCGGCGAAATGTTGGTTGCCTTTTGACTAGTTCAAACCGAGTTGAGCCTGCCAAAAATTCTTGAACTATAAGAAACAATCATTCAGGACGAAAATACAAGGAGTAAAGTATAGTAAAGTAGAATGAATAGTAAACTGATTTGTAACCAAATGAGTCTGGAAAAAACATGTTCAGGGCAAAGCGTGATGACAAGATTTGTAAGAAAATTTTGTAAATGTAAAATTTACTAAAAATTTATTTATTTTTTTTTTTTTTTGAAGATTAAGGACAACCAAAACATCTCTGATTTTAATAGTTGTAAAAGATTTTTTACAGTGATGCAGTCTGATGTTTTGGGATGAAGAATGAAATAAAATTAAAATGCATAGCACTGATCTCTGCTTTTGCAGATAGTAAATTTCTTCATATTATTTCTTCTGTTTTCCCACACACAGTTTAGCTTGGTAATATTTTAGCGATAAAATTATTTCACTTCCTTCCCATCCAGCGGTAATTTTCAGAATTTTTTTTAAACTTCCTTTTATCGGCTTTACAGCACAACTTACAGTTCTCTCAGTTTGGCTTCTATCTCGATCTCCTCGGTGAAAAACTTCTTCTCCACCTCCTTCTCAATAATAGCTAGTTGACTGGCCATTCTGCACCCGGCGGCTTCCTTTTATACCCCCTTCCGTCTACCCCCAAGACACCCCTCGGCTTCTGCGTTCGATATTCTTGTAAAATCTCACCACGCTGTTTTGTTTACTAAGCCAGCTGTTGACGTTTTTGACACCTGGAATGCAATCTCAAGGTTAAAAGTTATATAAAACTTACAAATAAAAAAAAATTATTGCGTATTAAATCCAAAGAAACACAGAAGCTTGCGTGATTTAAGCCATTTTATTTATACACGAAAAGATAAAATCATAAGAAAATCTTGAAATTTTAACGTACAAGACTTAAATATTCCCAAGTCTTATTTATATAAATCAATTTAAATGATCGTGTTAATCTATTCGCACCTCGACTTACTTTCCTCCAAGTCCAGAGTTGTTTTTTCTCTTGAGAAACAAGTCAAAAACGGTACACAGTCGTAAACGAACGAGGATGAATGAACGTAAGCGGTGACTTAAGCCTGCTGTGAAACAGCAGCGTTGTCAATTGCCATGGCGACCTTTACACAACAACCACTCATTGCCTCGTTGGTAGTATGGAAATGGACAGATTAGGAGAGAATCAAGACAATTATGTAAATTTTATTGTAAACAGGCGATGTCCTGAAGTACATTAGTGCCAAAAAGAATGCATAAGTGATTGCAATATCCCCGTATTTTTTAAATCCAGCTAAGGTCCCAGTGAGGTATCTGAAAATCAAGGTTAATGCAATTTAAAGCACATATACAGATTAATATAAAAATTTGATATTTCATTGCATTACACAATTGAAAATAAATAGTTTATAATTTCTATTATTCAAGTTCAGAGTTTGAAGTTAAGGATCTGTCGACTCCTGTCGTCTCATTGCCAATTTCAAGTTCAATTTCTGTTGCTTCGAAAGTTCAGGTGTTTAAGCATTTTAAGTTAGTCTGTCAAAGTCTGTCAATTAAAGACTGCCCCATATAAATATCAGAAAAATTGTTTATATTATTGCACTGGAACGACCAGCGTGTATTAAAAGAACAGGTGCCAATGAAATAAAAATGGATGTAGATTCCACTGGACCGAAAGAAATAAGTCAAAATTATATAAAGTTAAAAAGACATCGGTCTAAAATGGACTATACCAGGTTGCGCATAGGCCACACCAGGTTCACGTGTGGCCTAGCGGGGTGAGAACACATCGGTGCTTATTATGGAGAGAAACAATTTACGGAGCTCATTAAAGATTGCAGAGAATTGAGTAAAAAACGAACTTCCATACAGATCGCTGTTCGAATACATCAGTTCCATTAAAAAAATCATTTATTTTAATGAATGTATTTATTAGCAAGAATGGATGGGCAAGACCTCTCTATTCTTGAAAATTATCGAATGAATGAGTGTTGCATGACTGTATTTATTAGCTTGAATAGAAAGGGTAAATGAAAAACAGCCCTTGCTTGTACATTGCACTGAAGGAAAATTATTAGAGAGCAAGCAGAGATTCTGAAAAATATCGGATACTCTAGGGTAGTGTGAATGTAATTTATTAGCGTGAATGGTGGGGCTCCTTACCTAATACCCTGATAAATACGGAGTACACAATTTGAATGGTTACGACTGCGCACCTTAACTAATAATGGTATATTGTGCAATCTTCATTATTGTTTAAAGTACTCCGTTAAGGCTTTTTATCAGATCTACAAATTTTGTTAAGGGCTTCCGTGAGTATACTTCAAGTTTTGGCTTTTTCTCTCTCAGGAGTTCAAATCTCAGCCTTCGCAACAACAGAGGACATGTTCCGCTATTTCTTCTTCTTTTTGGAAATATCTGCACAGGCTTCTTTCTGCTAGTCCGAGTCGTACACATATGCTTCCGGATTTTGCATGGTTTAGTCAGCAGTCATACTATCATTCTAGTCCTAGCACGTCCTAGGTTTATTATTTCTGATGTTATGCGATAATTTTCTAACGAACATTTTCGCTTCCCTCTGTCCTGGAATACAATCCCATTGAACATTTGTAACGTTTAACTTGTTTAACGTTTTTGGCAATTTAGGGCCGATAGGTATTCTCATCGAACTTTCTTTGGTCAATTTATCAGCCAATTTCGTTTCCCCTCTGCCCTATATGCCTTGCCTAAACAAGGTTAATTTTCTTATGGAATTTAATGTCTGACAAGGCGCATTGATGAGTCCCAAACGGCTCTTGACTTTACTACTTTTGATCTCTTTGGCACATGTTCAATGGTCTGAAATACAGTGGTATAATGACCAAAGCTTATGGTTTATTTCAGTAAATACAAAGCTCCAGTAAAATATCACTTAAAATAAATGGGACTATTAACAGATGATAAATGTAAACTATGTCTAGACGACAGAGAGAACAGAGCATATCTTATGAAACTGTCGGGCAATTTGTAGGAAAAGGGTATGATATCCAGAAAGCCATTCTTGAACGATGTAGACCTCGATACCATACCCATGAGGAGAATTCTGTATTTTCTTAAAGAAAATCTTACAGAAAAACTATAACAGAACTCGGACACAATAGACGAAAGTTTAAGTGCAAAATAGGAAAACCCTTCAACTCAAAATGGAAAAAAAATTTCTGCGTTTTTTCTTTTTTTTCTGAAAGATAATAGTTACAAAATATTTTATACTATTACAACTAACCGTTGATTTGTAATAGATATATAATAATCTAAATAGTAGGGTGAAAATTATATTCATAATCAACTTTTATTGATTTGCAAAACTAAGAGATTTATTTAACTGTAAAATATTAACGATAAAAAAGGTCAAATTTACTCGAAGTTAATAATTACTAAACTTACTACTACTTTTTTTGTTATTTAAGTTGCAGTTTTTAACGAGACAAAAATTTAAAATTCAATTTTTACAACTTTCTTGCCGGATATAGGTCCTTTTGACAAGGACCAGTTCGAATAAATACAAAATTGTATAAACAAAAAAAAAGTTTTGGATAACAGCAAAAGCTCAACTTATAGTATAATAGAATATTGACTCATATTGTGAAATTAATGGCATAAAACTGTTAAATAGACGTTAATCAGCAAATTCATAATTAATTTTAAGGTGAAAAAGTTAATAGTCGAATTTTTTCTAATAGGTCCAACTTTAAATTGTAATAGTATTTATTGGAATCAATTAGTTTTAAGACTTGAAAAAAAAGGGGGCTTTAGGAGCCAGTATATTGTTAAATTATTGTTGTTGAGAAATTGATTCCCTGAGACAATAACAATAAATTGAATAAATGTTATATTTTATAAGTGAAATATAAATAAAAGTTTAGTTGCAAAAGAGTAGAACACGGTGTTAGTAATAAAATATGGAGAATAGTTTTTGTGGGAAATTCGTTAATTCCCAATTCTCAGTCTGAAAACCATCGATTCCTTGAAACTATTTTCCGGCTTTTCTTTTCCACCCCAAATGGCCTGCGGTGAGTAACGATTCCAAGAAGGTGGATTCCCCAGAAATAAAAACGATACCGTGAGCAAAGATAATAAAGAATCTCATTTATTAAAATTAGGTATAGACCTGTCAGGGGGTAAGAAATTCGGGTCCGGGTGATTTGGCGGCAAATGACTTTTCCGATACCCGATCCTCGGCTCAACCCCCTATTGCGACTTGCCACTTGGCCGTGGCCATGAAGTGTATTTTTTCCAAGGGGAATGAATAAAGATCGCGTGCTTAAATACGATTTTCTAATGAAAATCCGATAAACGGAACTGTTTCATTATAATCTAACGGTCACCGATCAAACAACAGGTAGCCACACCTTAAAAGTTCCGCAGTACTTAAATATCAATCCGACTTAACCTTTACAAAGGAAATGTTACTTAATGATTATTTAACTCTAAAGGAAAACAGTAAGATTTGTGTATTTCTATTTGTAATTTTGTGAAGGATGCACAGGTTATACAACAGATGGAATCATAAAGTATTGTACTTTACCAAATATTGTATAAACAACATGCAACGAACATTATTAACTAACAGTAAAATAACAATGAAACATCTCAGAAGAAAAATAAGTAAGAATAAATTAAAGAAACTTAAATGTTAGTACGCCTCAGTGACACTTCAGTATATATAATCAGTTGTACGTTGTTCTATTTTATTGAACGTTAAAAACTCTAGAATACCTAGACCAAGTAAATACAATGTGGTGAAATATTGTATAATTATTTGTTTAGCCTTGAGCGGAGAAGTTACTCAGTAGTTCAATTACTTGGCACTTGTTTTACTTCTTACTTAGACGGCGATCACTTCAATCGTCGTTGAGAACAATCAGGAAGCGTGGCTGAGGGAAGCTGGTTGACTAAATTGGGTTGACCAGTGAGTGAGGAGTGGAATTTGTTATATCGGGATTTTATGGCCTGAAAAATGTAAGGGATATCGAGGTAAAGGGCAAGATTTGGATAAAATATGGATGCTTTGGTTGAGCCTCATATTTCCAAACAGTCCATGTCGCTAACAAACAAGCAAAAGCAGGAGCCCTTACTTCCTGGCATACCCCAAAGCAAGCTGAAAGTGCAACGGAACAAATGGGTGCTGAAAGAAAGACCTCACACTGGATGAATTCATGAAACAATCTAAGAAGTATCTAAGCTCGAGCTACATGCAGTCGAGCATTGCCATGCATTAACACGAAGTTGAGCCCCATAAACAAGTGAATGGGACCACAGTCCAGAAGAACTCCCTTTAATGTGCATTGGTGCAGTCAAATTGGTGCATTCTGTATGATAGTCAGTTCGGTAGGAGGATGGACTTTCCACCCCCATATCATAACTTTGAAAAGGCTATGATTCACGTAAGGCACATGAAACAAAGCGTTTTCTATGTCTTCTACAAACACGCTCATCAGATTGCCACAAACCAAACCGGCATTCGTCAGTGAAGAGAACATCTCCCTCCACCATTGTTCAAACGTCCAAGTGAGATGCTGATTTGTGAATAGTCTTTCTGCACGATGCCTCTCCAATAGTAGAGAACATGATGCGGGATGTCTAAAGGCTAGGCTATTCTCACGAAAACTTCTGATGACTGTTTTTGAGCTCACCCTTACATTTCGGACCGTTTGGAGTTGATTTCCTACCAAGTGAACCCTTAAATGATGGTTCCGTAGTGCGCCAAGAGCAATAAAATAATTGTCTTTAGCTCTCGTACATTGCGGTTGACTACTACCTTCGAGTTGTAAACCATGCTTTGTGGCGGCACTACGTCCATCATTGGCCAAAGCAGGATCTTCTCCACTTAAGAAAAAAACTATTAATTTTGTTTCTCAAATTTATTGTTTCATCGAAAAAACCGAATTAAAAATCTACTTAACTCACTCGACAATTTGGCGCTGGAAAGGGTGAAATTGAACTGTTTTTCTTTATTTTTAATCTAAAGATTGCAGAAGGATTAGTAACAGTCAATAAAGGTAAACAACAAGTTATTATTTACTTAGTTTAGTTATTTAGTAATTATTTATTTATCTTTTAGTGTATTATAAGATGTTCAAAATAGGTTGACCATCTTTGACCTTCCTACACCTATTCTTGTCGAGTTCTGCCAGACCTATTTCACCATCATCAATGGTTTTTCTGTGTTATCTTGTCAGTCGCGTCCTTTTACAAAATTCTCAACATCGTAGAAATACGTAATAAATGGACCATATTCTCATATATGT